AATACTAACCTCAATTCCATGGTACCAGGGTCTGGCCCAGACCTATGAGCGAAGCGGGAACCGAGGCGCCAATATGACCGGTTACAATTAAAAGCACTGAATGTGTTTTTTGTGATCGATGCTATGGTGCTATGGTGCTATGCTATGGTTGGAGCGATGGTCGGCGCTCCGTTATGTCCGCCCACTAAACAATTTAAGGATGTGTATCAGGTGTCCCATTCTCAACATTTATAGGCTATCTCTGTAACTGTCAGTACCATCAAAAGGCGTCATAGTGTGTTCTTTTAGGGCAAACTTAAAATGGTAAACAAAAAATTTGAAAATCTTCGCTCGCTTAAGAAATATGGGGGAAGCTCAAAAAATTGTCAATTTCAGAATGACCCTATATGTTTAGTTAAAAGAAATACGGAAAAATGTCTCTTTATAACAATTGTTGAATAATCTGCAGTTTTCAAAATAAGTACGTCTCGGAGTCCGTAGTCAGGTAAAAAAGTTGTCAAACCAAACTCCATTTTTTTTAATGGGACACCCTGTATACTAGAGATACGTAGAAAAAACGAATTGAGCTATTTTATTCATTTATAATTGGGTGGTTATCACATTGCTATGTAAGATAGATCAAAACAGCCAAGTGGGACCCAATCATAATAAACCGTGAACATCTCCAACTTGATATAAGCTAATTATAGACATGAATAATGAGTATGCTAATGTACATCCTAGTTAAATGATAAAATATCAAAGCGGAAGAATGAAAAACTATTTAGGGGAGTAGAGGCAGTATTTTACACATCTTTCAATATATCTTTTCATGTGCGAATTTTTGGAAACTTATTGATGTAATTCATCTGTATGCATTTGAAAGTACACATTTACTTGTAAACCTACCACCAATACTTACCGGAAAGCACTGATCGAACACCAATCGATCAGGTCCAATTTCTAATTTTCCTTGTGCCACCTTATAATGTATAGGTATTGAAAGTTTCTCATACTGCGTCTCAACGACTATGTCACCCCAAACCTGTCCTTCGGCGTGTGGGGAATGAATCATTAGTTGCACAATCGCATATTCGTTTGAGCCCAAATTTGTCTACAGAGAAAATCAGTTAAGACAGTCACACTTTACCTACGACTTACGCATCGTGTGGCATTTTTAGACAGGTTCAACAAAAGCGCGTCCGAATGATTTCCCTTGCCGCAAGCAATTACTTCGATAGCGCTAGCGGGTAATGACGAAGCAATTTTATTGAAAGTAACAGGTACAGGGTTGGTATTCAGTAACAGAAATCTAGTAAACTTCTCCGTGTCCAAGCTCACTAGCCCTAAATCCAGAGAATTATCGTTACTGATGTAAGGGAAAGTCTATAAATGTCTAAGTAAGCTTACGATGCATTGCTTGACGCTTACTTACCAACTGTAGCTTCCCATTGTAGCTCAATAGGGGAAGTTCGACTGTGGAGATATTTGTCGTCAATACAATACAAGAGTTAAGTTTTAAGTTTGACAAGGACGTGTCAATTTTTAAATTAAGAGTAAATATAGTCAGCTCCTCTTGAGGTTGCAAAATCACTGGTTTAAAATTAAGTATCTAAAATCAACACTCAAATTATAATGCTTCACGTTTATGTAAAATACATACATTAAAGTATTTACGGGCGTCCGATAGCAAAGAAACATTTGTTAGCGCAAGTGGTATTAAGAAATCGTTTTTTACTGTAACATCTCTTGATATCATTTGCTTAGGTGATTCGTTTATAAAATATGTTGTAATGGACGAGTTAAATAACAGACCGCCTTCTAAGACAGTTATGTAGTATGGAATTTCTGTTTTACTTTTTCCATTTTTGTATCTAATTACTATTTTCCCTGAGAAATCTTTGTTCTCGTGTGCGGTTTTCCCTGCGCAAATATCATCACATTCAGAAATTGTTAAAACTAATGCAAAAAGTGAGTTGCAAATCATATAAAAATTCCGAATGGTTTTGAGTTCCAATTGAATTTTTCTCACATTTTCTGAATACAGCCTCTGCTATGGTGTGCAAGGACTTCAGACCTGAATAAGTATTAATACAAAGAAATATAATTAATAACATACAACTGCTTAGAAAAAGTAATGCTATGGTTGCAACTTTTATTTTCAGGGAAAGACTTATAGGCCTCACGATCCTCCTGCTACACACCACAGCTTTGGCACTACACGTCCTCATGAGCCGCTACTGATACACAGGTTTACAAAAAAAAACATGTTGAAATCATTATACAAAATAAAAGAAGAAATTTCAAAATTCTACTGCCTTCTATTACCTCAGAAAAGCCTAGCTATCAATTTAACTGTGAAACCCAACTGAAACTCAAAAACAGTCTCGAGGGATTAATGTCAATCAGTAACTTGAACTGAGAGATAAAGAACTTTCACAATTTGCAAGTGTTTTTCCCTGGTTGCACTACACTACGCGTCGGTAAAAAAAACAAAGAGTGATGGATCGTTCACTCCAAATTCGATTATTTGCTCTACTCCAATTTCGTGCAACCAGCGTGAAAAGCAAGAAGTTAAAATTAAAAGTAAATACGTACAATCGAGTGTAAGTGTTGCAATTTTAGTTGAAGTTGGAGTTCCCTTTGAACTGCGTAAATCTGACGGAACTTTCACATTCTCATAGTCAATTTTTATGGCCTTCGATGTTGATGATATGCTGTGAATTCTAACCGCCTTCTTCAACGGGTTGTGCACGTATAAATTTAACAGCTTTGGTAGATCGAGGGATCCACCGACACCGAAATCGACGGACCCTTGCGGTACGTACAAACCTGCACTTGAGGTAACTTCCACTTCTAATGGAACCACTAAAATATCTTCGGTGTTGTTTAATTTAATCCTAAACAGAAATTTTACAATTAGTTTGTGTGAAATCAAAAATTGCAATAAATGACTGTTTAGAATATAGCCCTATTCTAGTTTTAACGTTAGGGTTTCCTCCTCCTAAACTAAAACATGTACCGTGTCTCCCATTTTGGTTGAGAATTTGAGATTACAGCGTCTCTCACTTGGCGTTTTCGCAACCTGGGGTCACTTTTTTCTTTTAATACCACAAACAGATCCAATCTAGCTATGTTTTGTTTCTGAGATACGGGGTGAATATGAAAAGTTTGACATTTTAAGATGCTACCATATCTTACTACCCATAGTCCATTGAAATGTTACATTTTTTTGGGCTTAGCGTGCGTTTGTCAGAGGACGCAATTTTATTTTTTAGATATCAAGGAGGGGTTAGTCTATAGTTAAATCCAAGTTTGTGGGGTTGTAGCCCTTGTCCCGCGGTCGCCATCTTGAAAAATGGGGTGCAAATGGTTTTTATGGTTTATCTGACAAACTATTGGTCTCCCAAAAAATTTGTTCAGACATTTCTGAATAAGAATAAAATTCTCTACAACGTTGGTCCAGTAACTTTTAGTCGTATAACCAAAAGTAACAAAGTTATAAACGAAAATTGATGAACATTTTCTAAAAAATTTTCAATTGGTCTTTATAACTTTTTTTCTCGTCATTTTACAAAAAAATGACATCAGGCCATTTTTATAGAGGAGTTTTCAAGGAATGATTTTCATTACAAACTTTTTCGGTTTTATTCATTCATTAAGATTTTATAGCGCTCCAGTGTTAAATTATACATAAATATTAATGATTTTAACGTACCTTTCTAATGTTCTAAATGACATAATTATTGTTTCCTTAGTCTTTTTGATGGACCAGGCTGCGTTGGAATTGAAAACAATATAAATGTACCTACTCTTTGTCACTGATTTGGCGAATCGTTTGTATCTAATGCTGTTAAAAGAATCATCATCTTCATTGCCACCATATAAAAAGATGAAACAATGTTCACCAATGACAGTGAGCAAAGCAGGACCGAGGAACAACGCTACTCCACTAGCTAACTCTGGATGTTTCTCCAGTGTTATGAGAAATTTTAGTTTGCCAGTGTTGTGAGCTGATGTTGTGTTACATCCTGAAAAAGCATGGAGAAACAGCAAATTATCGTTTTCGTGCATAAAACCTGACTGAGAATACAATTGCTCAACTGTACGTCCTTTTCACGGTTTAAAAAAATAGATTTCTTTGCTCCAAAAGTCGTGAGCAACACAAGTATGTCGATATCTTCAACTACAATAGTAACTGAGTCAAACGATTGGGATGCAGCAAAAGCAGAATGAACGATGAGGGGGTCTGCATCTGATTGTGCTTGGTCGACAGTGAAACCCACCTCTGAGAATGAATTTTTGAGAAGTACAATGAAATTAGCCTTGTTCTTCTCATTGCCAAGAAATTTCTCTTGTGTCGGTACGGCGTTCTTATCGAATTGTACCTACTTCTGTCGACTGATGTTTCTTCGTACGATGCAAACGGTGCCAAGACTTAGTTCCTGCGACATCGGGGTCTTCTGAGCAGCCGTCTCGTAAAGGCAACACTAATACGTAGATGTTCTTTTATCCCCAAACGGTTATTATCTTTTATCCCTGCACAGTATTCTCGAAAATGAACACTCTGATTTTATGAATCTAGAGAATTAGTATTCGTTTCGTAGCACTGTAAAATCTTAATTAATGCATAAAATTGAAAAACTTTGTAATAAAAAATATTCCTTGAAATCAAGATTACTATTCACTCGGTAAACGCATGGACGAAGGTTGACCCTATGTGGGATCAATAGGTTTTGTGTGTTTAGGCAACACACACATCAGTTGTTACTTGTTACAGAAAATTGCAGGGAGTTTAATGATCACAATATAGGTGTCACTTTTTGCAGTTCTGTAGATCAGTATGTGCAATAAGAAAATATTTATTGGAGTTTTATGTTCTACAGAACCATAAAAATAATAAAAGAAATCAATTGAGAACGTTGACATGGGCGGTAATCCCACAACTATTGGTATGTACGCACACTGTCACTAAATCACTCACAAAACTACTATTAAATGCAACACCTTATATATTTTAACGTCAATTTTTGGCATTCGTTTTCCTGATTACGTTGATGTATCACAACCTATATTTGTTTTAATACACATAAATTATGTATCGTATTTTTAACAATTTTGAAATGACACGGCATGTCATCCATTTTTATTGATTGATATGAGCTGCCATGGATATTATAAACAAAACAAAATCTCTATAAACCCATGGCCTACCTATTTAAAAACCGTAAAAAAATAAGGTTTTTATTTTTGCTTCAAGGTTAAAATTAAAGAAAAATGATTGTGTGTGTGCGGCGGGCAAGAAATTTTTTTTACTACGCCACTGGATTGTACGTAAACATATCTAAAATAAACAGTTTTTACCTTTTTTCTACCTTACATGGTAGTCCATTGAAAAGTTACATTTGGGGTTGCGTTTGTCAGAGGACACAATTTTATTTTTTAGATATCAAGGGGGGGTTAGTCTAATGTTAAATCCAAGTTTGTGGGGTTACAGCCCTTGTCCCGCGGCCGCCATCTTGAAAAAGGGGTGCAAATGGTTTTTATGGTTTATCTGACAAACTTTTGGTCTCACAAAAAATTTATTCAGACATATTTGAATAAGAATAAAATTCTCTACAACTTTGGTCCAGTAACTTTTAGTCGTATAACCAAAAGTAACAAAGTTATAAACGAAAATTGATGAACATTTTGTAAAAAAATTTCAATTGGTCGTTATAACTTTTTTTATGGTCATTTTACAAAAAAATAACTTCAGATCATTTTTATAGAGGGGTTTTCAAGGCATATTTTTTATTACAAACTTTTTCAATTTTATTCACTAATTAAGATTTTACAGCGCTACGAAGCGAATACTAATTCTCTAGATTCATAAAATCAGAGTGTTAATTTTCGAGAATACTGTGCAGGGATAAAAGATAATAACCGTGTGGGGATAAAAGAACATCTACGTATTAGTGTTGCCTTTACGAGACGGCTGCTCAGAAGACCCCGATGTCGCAGGAACTAAGTCTTGGCACCGTTTGCGTCGTACGAAGAAACATCAGTCGACAGAAGTACAATTCGATAAGAACGCCGTACCGACGTTATCACAAGAGAAATTTCTTGGCAATGAGAAGAACAAGGCTAATTTCATTGTACTTCTCAAAAATTCATTCTCAGAGGTGGGTTTCACTGTCGACCAAGCACAATCAGATGCAGACCCCCTCATCGTTCATTCTGCTTTTGCTGCATCCCAATCGTTTGACTCAGTTACTATTGTAGTTGAAGATATCGACATACTTGTGTTGCTCACGACTTTTGGAGCAAAGAAATCTATTTTTTTAAACCGTGAAAAGGACGTACAGTTGAGCAATTGTATTCTCAGTCAGGTTTTATGCACGAAAACGATAATTTGCTGTTTCTCCATGCTTTTTCAGGATGTAACACAACATCAGCTCACAACACTGGCAAACTAAAATTTCTCATAACACTGGAGAAACATCCAGAGTTAGCTAGTGGAGTAGCGTTGTTCCTCGGTCCTGCTTTGCTCACTGTCATTGGTGAACATTGTTTCATCTTTTTATATGGTGGCAATGAAGATGATGATTCTTTTAACAGCATTAGATACAAACGATTCGCCAAATCAGTGACAAAGAGTAGGTACATTTATATTGTTTTCAATTCCAACGCAGCCTGGTCCATCAAAAAGACTAAGGAAACAATAATTATGTCATTTAGAACATTAGAAAGGTACGTTAAAATCATTAATATTTATGTATAATTTAACACTGGAGCGCTATAAAATCTTAATGAATGAATAAAACCGAAAAAGTTTGTAATGAAAATCATTCCTTGAAAACTCCTCTATAAAAATGGCCTGATGTCATTTTTTTGTAAAATGACGAGAAAAAAAGTTATAAAGACCAATTGAAAATTTTTTAGAAAATGTTCATCAATTTTCGTTTATAACTTTGTTACTTTTGGTTATACGACTAAAAGTTACTGGACCAACGTTGTAGAGAATTTTATTCTTATTCAGAAATGTCTGAACAAATTTTTTGGGAGACCAATAGTTTGTCAGATAAACCATAAAAACCATTTGCACCCCATTTTTCAAGATGGCGACCGCGGGACAAGGGCTACAACCCCACAAACTTGGATTTAACTTTAAACTAACCCCCCCTTTATATCTAAAAAATAAAATTGTGTCCTCTGACAAACGCAACCCCAAATGTAACTTTTCAATGGACTAAAAAAAACTGTTTATTTTAGATATGTTTACGTACAATCCAGTGGCGTAGTAAAAAAAATTTCTTGCCCGCCGCACAATCTATTTTTCTTTAATTTTAGCCTTGAAGCAAAAATAAAAACCTTATTTTTTTACGGTTTTTAAATAGGTAGGCCATGGGTTTATAGAGATTTTGTTTTGTTTATAATATCCATGGCAGCTCATATCAATCAATAATGACATGCTGTGTCATTTCAAAATTGTTAAAAACACGATATATAATTTATGTGTATTAAAAAAAATATAGGTTGTGATACATCAACGTAATCAGGAAAACGAATGCCAAAAATTGACGTTAAAATATATAAGGTGTTGCATTTAATAGTAGTTTTGTGAGTGATTTAGTGACAGTGTGCGTACATACCAATAGTTGTGGGATTACCGCCCATGTCAACGTTCTCAATTGATTTCTTTTATTATTTTTATGGTTCTGTAGAACATAAAACTCCAATGAATAGCAATCTTGATATGTAAACAAACGCATTGCAAATGGGTTGCTTAAAAAATTAAGTCAAGGCATTCAGATGAATATAATTAAAATTTCAGAAATTAGTCCGTCCTTTGGTATGTAAACACACCAAACAATGCTAATTCAGTGTCATTAAGGGTGCGACCATTAAAGAAAACAATAGTGATTTTGTGTGGGATATCCCAAACTTTGAAATTGCGTGGTTTTTTTTCACTTAAACACATCAAGTTCCTATCTATGGATCTATCAATAAATCAAAATTCTCATACTCGGTATTTAACAGGAAAATTCAGCAATCCTTATACAGGGTGTTATGAAAACTACGGGTTGACTATATGCGGCCGTCTTCTACGACTAAAAATCAGAAAAAAAGTTCAAATAAAGACATATCTCCTAAAATGATATTGCGGATCTTTGACCTAGTCATAACGCGTGTCAGCAAATTTGGAATTTTTGAGCGCGTGAGGTAGTCCTTGATCCTATGGAGTCATTTTGAACATTTATTATAATTTCAGTTTAACAGTTGCATTTATTGTTATCGTTTTGAATCAAAAATTAAAAACTCAGCGTTTTGATGTGGATACCGATTGATCCCCTTTTTGCTAAAAATTGATTTAAATTTAATAGTGCCTTTTTGTAATTTTTTGAGGTGATTCATTTAACCACCCTCGATTGGGACAGCAATTATTGTTTATGTTCTATCCCTGTCAATTATTTTATTTCCTTAGCTTATCAAGACCAAAACAAGGATCTCTGAGTCTGCGCATGCGTTTAAATACTGAATATACGTCTCAAATTTTAAACACAGATGCTTACATTTTTGGCGATCTTTTTTTTCATTTAAGTTGTGGTCGTATTTTTCGAAATCTGAAGCCACAATTGCTTTTAATATAGGTAGTGTCCATGCCGGAAGTTAGATATTGGCATGCGCAGTACATATTGCGTGTTAACATTACTCTCCTTAATCTAGAATGTCTTGAGACCAATAAAAAGCTGCAGACTCGAACTCGACTTAAAATGTTGAAATTAAGAAAAATAAGTTGAGATGGATGTATTGCATTTCAAGTCTTTGAACTACATCCAATACAATACCTACACACAGTTAAGATCACCATGTCGGGATATATAAAAAAATGAATGATGTAAAAGGGTTTTAATGCCACTAATGCCTGGCTGATGACATTCCTTCAAGTAGTTTAAGTCATCAAATGGTGTACACCATAGTAAAAAAAATTCTACATGTGTAGTAAACATCTATAATTTTGATAATGATAAATTTTTTCTAGTATGTTTGTATAATGTTATACAACCACGTATGTATGTGGTTGAATGATTTTAGAAAGTATACTAAGATAAGGATAAATTTTGATAAACTGATTAAATAAATTGGTGCATTAATGAAATATATATTATTCATTTATTTATTCCATATAATGCGCTGGTGTAGATAGGAACAGGGTTTGTAATTAAGATAATTATTTATGATACATCATTTCACACATACTCATTTTGTGTAACTAAAATTATGTGATAAGAAAATCAATCTTATCTTCGTGGGGATGTGTTGTGATATAATATTTACAATGATATGATAATGAAGGTTAATCGGAAATATTATCTACACCTATTCAATGCCTATCTAAATTTAGCTTGTCCTATTTTTTTCATATACAGTAAGAATTCCAGAAATCCCTTCCCACTGTCATTATTTATATAAATTGAATCATCCGATCATTGTAATCTCAAACAAGTAGGGTTTTTTTTCTTGGATGCTTGAATACTTTGTGAGCTTGTCAATTGTCATCACCATGTACAATTTTTACAAAATTTGTTGGATGACTAGTGGGCCATTTTTATGTTTGTAGGTGAAATTGGATAGATCCATTGAATTCTTCTGTTTAGGATGTGTCAAGTTTGAACAAGAAGGCTCTAAAACCATTTAGGGATTCTTCCAGACCAGAACATTTGATGCAAATTGATCTTTTTTGCCCTTGTATATTTACTAGAGTAAGAAAAACCATTTGTAAAAGGGATCGCTATCGACCTGATGTCTAAATTGCTCTAACGTAGGCGTCACACATACATTTAGCGGATTATCGTTGCTAAGGGTATCTAGTCACAGTTGGTCTTTTTGGAATTTAGAACTGTTGGTTCTTTGCAAAGATTTATCTAATTGTGTAAATAAATAGTTACATTACCCTAAAGCCGCTTTTTAATTAAATGTATCAAATTATTTGATTTCGAGGTCAATGTTTTGTATCAGAATAAATGATGTTTGATGATTTTGTGTAAATAATTGTTTTGTTTATTTTGTTATGATAATTGTAAATTTAAATTACATGTTAAAAGACTAGATTTATCCAGTTTGGAAATTACGTGCGTAGTATTTCTAAAAGTTTATCTCATGTTTTTCTCCGGTCGTAGATATGACGTTTTCTTATCTAATTAGTTTCAAGATAACCACGTGATTTCGCCGAAGTTTAACACATTTCTAAGATTCTAAGATGGCGCATTATTTTGTAACGGAAGAGGGAATTAAATGGAAAGGGAAAGATAGCCGTATTTGAAAGTTATCATTTATACATTTTGGCGCAGTGGGCGCTCGGTACGCTGGCGTTGGACAGTCCGACACATCCAGTATAATCTGACATTTAGCGACTCAGATGACCCACTAAATAATCTGGCACTACCCAGTTGAGCTCGTTTGCAAAATTTGCTTTTGCGCTCGGTCCTGCCCTGATCTTGACAAGAAAACCATGCGTCTTTTCGCTTTCGTTGGCGCCTGCCTGCGTAGATTGCTTAGTAGTTGCCAGCACGCGTCGATCGCTTAGACAAGATGGCGGACTTTTTGCACCTACTTTAGTAGGTACTCTTTTAATGGAGGAATCTATGATCGAATGTAGTACATGTAGGATATAAAAAAAGCTACGTATCCCACACAAATCCACTAATCCAGCAATTCCAGTAATCCGGCAATTAGATTCTATAAACAAAATTATGTACGGAAACAAAAATATTTGACGTACCACAAAAATTACAACCCTCACAATCAACGAATCGTTATGTAAAAGTGAGTTTCAATTGTTGAAACGTGCAGGGTGTGCACATAAAGGGTGGCTTATGGACCCTGTAAACAAAATCAAACAAGGAAACAAAAATATTTGAAGTACAGTAAAGTCGCGGTAATCCAAACCTCGGTAATACAAGGTTCCTTGCAATCCGACATCCAAAAGAAAAAGACAACTCAAAGCCTTATTTTATTTTCATGTAGTAGCTATGCTATTCGGCACCACTCAGCCCACCAATCCAGCGAGTGACGGATTGAAGGTCAAGAGTACACTCTCACAAGCAATTTTTGAAATGGAAAATGTGGTCTGTGGGTACGAAAATAAAACAGAACGATAAATAATTATTTGCAGATCAATAATTTGAAAAATAGAATAATTTGGATAATAATCTAGTTGGTGTCTTTGTTTTTTTGCCCCCCCCCCTCTCCTGCAACCCTTAAAAATGGCTTCATCCTGGTTGTGAACTTGTCTAAACTAACTTTGATTTCAACGATTTCGTGTCAAAAAATGCCAAATTTCATGTGGATCAAAGGGGTGTGTGTAAACATTTTTGAGAGTAGCTCCCAGTTAAAGTGTTTATATGGAAAATAAAGTTAAAAAATTTACATTCAGATTCACTGTAAAAATTAACATAAATCCAAATTAGCACGTTTTAATTAAGATTTAATTGCTATTTTAATTATCTCCATTTAACTCATGACTATAGATTTTATTATAAGTGAGTAGCATATTATTTTTATTAGACCTTGGCATTACAGTGTCACCTTTATAAAAGCCATAATCTAATTTGTGATAATGTAACCAAAAATATAAAATAAACACACCGCAATTACTGTTGTTTGTATCCAACCACATCTCAAGTATATCAAATAAGGATACACTAACCTTACGTATGCCGTATGATTTTGTTCGGTTCGAGCATGGAACCGCACCCTTATTACAGCTTTGGACTGAAGAGGCGGTATTTCCCACATGTTTTTCGGCCCTTCCAATTCACCACTTGGAAGCTCCAAATGAAAATCACCGCCGCTACTGTATATTTCTACAATCTAAAAGAGCATTATATCAGCAGAGATTTACGGTCTTTCGTTACCTGTATCGGCTCTGTATACGGATTATACATATGGATAAGAGGTGAAAATGTAGTGTTTAATGGTAATTTTATACCAACAATCGGTCTAAGCCTGTACGGGCTCGAGACACTTGCTCCTTTCACCTGAAATTTTAATTTTATAGCTCATTTCAGCGATAAAATTAAAAAAATCATTTTCAATTGTAAAGCCTGAGAGTAACCTTCAAGCGCAAACATAAATATTCCATCCTTGACAATGTTGATAAAACAAATTATCAAAAGACAAGGTTATACACCTGCTCACCTGATATTTAAAATGCCCATCAGTAGTGTGAATAAATAAACTACTTTCAATGGCACCCTCCTCGCGCCCCAAGAACACGACGTTAAAGGACGTGTTTCCCAACGGAGGAATTCTCTACAAGCATAAAAATAATGCGGGGAAAAAAACAAAGAAGGCCGCTTACCTTGTCCTCGAAAAACGAGCTGTGAAAATGAACAGTGCTTCCAGAGATCGAAGTCATATCGATACTTCTGTTACTATCGATGTTGAAAAGTGTAACTTTGGCCAGATGAGGTATTCCCAGTGGCCTAAAAGTGTCCAAAGTTTGAAAAGCAAATTATTACAGATGCTTACCTTTGTTCGAAATCTAAAAATTCCGGATCAAACTTTAGCAAAAGTTTCATGCCGAGATCATTGAGTGAGGGGCTCCTTACGGAGGATGATACTTCCTAAAATGTCAGGATAGTTAGTTAACGCTACATAGTATAATCTGTTTGCTCACCTGATGAAATGCTGAAATGTCATCAACGAAAAACCTTTCGTGGTTGTGTGAAACGAATCCTGCAATAAGAATTATTTAATCGCCCGGGTTGATAAGTGTTTGCTTTTATCAATATTAATAATAATATTTGAAAATATACAAACCATGACTGTTGTCATGAAGAGTTAAGTGTGTTTTAACAAACACCTCTTGCAGCGTCAATAAAATAATAAAATACGATAGCGAATGTGTAACCATATTATCGCTGGCATTAAAAATAAATTATGCCGAAGTTATAAAAACAGTGCACATCTGCAATCGGACTACACATATCCTTGGCTTTTTGATAAGGATTATAAACGTCAATTATTGCACTAAAAAACACAACCCTAAAATCCCTACAAATGATTCAAGTACGTGTGTTGTTGTCAGTGGCGTTGCTATGGGTAAAATACTAACCACAGACCGTGTCACATTCGTTTGTTTATTACTGTGTCAAGGATAGAACTGATAGAAGGCTAGTCCGCACATGGCATTAAACTCTACCAATTTATAGATATTGATTAATTACCCAATAAACAAATCACACAAAGTACGAAATTCGAGAAAAATGGGAGGCTATGACGAATATTTGGGAATCAGTCTAAATATATACCTCCAGCAGTTCACAAATTTGCAAACTAATAAACAAAATCTACACCAACGAACAAAAAATATATACCTGTGAAATTTTATTCGCTTAAGAACGCGAGGTTAATAGGTAGGCGAAGAGCAACATATTTTATCATGCACAAACAGACAGACAGATACACTATGAAAAGCGAAGACGTACGCGTCACCGTAGTGAATTCCGTAAAGTATGTCGAATTTAAAAACACTAATTCTCAAAAATTTAAAGTACAGTATATACCTACTGGATAAACTTGTAATGTCTGTTAGTATGATCGTTGGTCCTCATGCACTATCTTGGGAATTTGTTGTTCGTTAGGCAACCAACATGTCACCTTACCGACGTTGCCCGAAAGTGAATGCAAGGGCAACCGAAGGCGAGCTCAACATAGCCTACTTCACAACTGCATATTTTGTCTATTTGAAGGAAAATATATGTATTTAACAGTCGTCGATGAGTCTTTGAAATTGACATTTAAAGGGTATTTAATAGCTTCGGAGCAAAGATCATACTACACTTGTTCGGAGTAAATAAATATTTAACAGGCCGGTGCGCAGCGCAGCTGCAAGGCCGCCGCCTTTCGATTATGATGACACGGGTTCGGATCCCCCGAGCGCACGCTTTTTTTATATAATAGATCTTAACAAAAAGAAAGGAGCGAAAGAGTGAGAGAAAAGGAAGTAGTCAGTGCTGTCGGCACTTACCAAAGGTTTCCCGTTATACCGTTATAGGTAACTCATTTGTCGTAAGTACCTTCATATTTGATCGCATTATAAGGAATAGTCCTTCAAAAGTTAAGACCAAGGTTGTTTTATTAGAGAGTTAAGACAGCGTTATTTACACTATCTTAATTTTTATCTTTATTTGCGCCATTGAGTTGCTGTCAAGTCACCTTTGGAATTTTTGTTTACATGGGAAATTGTACTTAACTTGAACTTCCAAAGGCGACTCTACAGAAAATCACTTTTGATCGCCCGTTATACATTTTTTAATATTCTTGGTATAATTATATTACAGAAATATTCGCCGTTATCAGGGATATTGTATTCCTTCCGAAATTTACGATTTAAAGAAAATTATTTTATAACAATATAGGTACCTATAGTTTTTTCCAGTGCTTAGTATACCTATACAATGGTATGGGGATCTTGTAAACCGTAAGAGATACAATGTCGCTTAAATGTGCAAAGAATTACACAATTTTATGTAGATTGAATTTCCTTTTCAGAGTTTCATGTAGGTCTATAAATAACGAAGTTATGGGAAAAAACCGAAAAATGTCATTTTCAAAATTGAGCTGGCGTTCATTTATTTTCAAAGATATCAAAAAATAGTTTTAACAAACGTTTAGTAATTTTTTCTCAGCTTTCGGATGGCGCCAAAACTTGTGGAATAATCATTTCAACTTTCTTATGGACGCCATATTCGATTTTTGTCATTGGAAAGAGAAAAAGATTACAAAATCGGCAATTCCAAACACTCAGTATTTCTTTTAGGAATCAAACTTGGATTTTTACAAATAAATAAACAAATATGGAACAATATGTCCACTGGAACTTTTATTTATTAAATGCAAGATATGTCCAAACAAAATATGCATGGAGTTTAGGAAACCAAGCAATACAAAAGTAGAGCTGAATAACAATACAATAATTTAAGGCATATAAAATGATGGTCAGCTGCAAATATGAATTAAACAGTTGCATAGTAAATTACCACCCTACAATGAAAATGTAAAAAGATAAATAAATGTATATTTAACTAGAAATTATTGTGGTTTGCAATTTTGATCAGAGTTGACATTTCCACAGTCCTTTCCACCATCGGAATCTTCCTCCTCCTCTTCTTCATCGTCTTCCTCCTCTTCGTATTCTTCTTCCTCCTCGATACCCTCACCGGTGAAGTACAAGATCGCACGTGGAATTATGCGTTCGCGAATGTAATGGCCAATTTCGAAATCGGACGTTAGGAGATTACGAGTTTCCTCATCAACTTCACCGTCGGGGATGTCTTCGGGAACTATACAAAAAGGTTAGTGAAATATTCAATGTGAAGTACCCAAGGATTCAGAAAGTGTTGTAGATTGAATGACTAACTTTCACAGCAACATTTAAAATCAAATGAAGATAGGAGATGATGTGACATTTGGTAGAAATCATGGAAACAAACAGTAAATTAAATTTTGGAAAGAAAATAGATTTCTCCAATAAAAAAAAGGATGATAAGAAGTTTTATGGACCCATTGGGTTCATTGTCAATCTAATAAATAGGTATACCTGTTAATGAAACACGCCAATTTGTCAAAAATAAATCAGCCTCAATTCATTTCTTTGAGTATGTAATGAATTTTAGCTTTTTATATCATACTTTAGGATTTTTTGATTTATGGAAGTCTCATTAAAACTATACATTGGTTTAAAATTAGCTGAAAGCATTTAAAATTGTCTGAAATCAGACTCCTTTGGAGAATGCCTACCTGTAGCAGGTGTAAAGAAATTAAAGAAGGAATCATTCTGAACAGTTTTCATGACAGTTCGTACTACGCCGCGACTTTTATGCTTTTGCTTCTTTTTCACGGTCTTCAATGTAACATTCTTCCCCTTATTCCAATTTATTAGGCAACCACGGCATTTGTAAATTTCAGGACCTTCGAAACCGAAAGGATCATCTTCATCAGGGACACACTTCATATCGTACTCTTTGGTCAGGACAGTATTTGTGAAATACTCGTTTGGCTCGAAATGGAATTCCAAAACAAAGCCCTAGAAAACACGTGAAGAGAACGAATTTTTGAAAGTTCAAGCTTACCATTGGCTCATTCATAAAATTAACTCTAATATCCTTTAAGTGCTTTAAGATAGGTTCGTCGTGCTCTTGGACCATTTCCGATAAAATACTAACGTTTCTAAAAATAGTTAACCAAAAATCTGGAATCCCCTTCGAAGGTAATTCTTCTTTGACCGGTTCTTCCTTTTTATCCTCCAACTTGGACTTCTCCTTCATATCTTTCGAGAGCTCCTCCTCCTCATCGGACACCCATTGGCACTCATCATCGTTAGGTTCGTAATCGCCATTAATTATTGTGCTTCGTTTTTGATATAACGGTAGGTAAAGTTTGTGGTATTTACATTCGATCGCATGAACTTCTTCGAAAAATTTGGCCTCTATGTGGGTCGCCTCGAGTTGCAATTTTTTAAGGGACTTAATTCGTCGTTTAACCGCGGGAGGAAGATTTGCTAGCATTTCTGAGTTATGATGAGATTGTAACGCCGCCAGAACGTCAGGATATTTCAACATCCTGTGGGCGACGTCGTGTGCAGTTTCTTCATCGTCAACGGATTCCATCTCATCGGGACAGTCACCGACGTGTTCCGGTTGTGTGGCCATTTTTCTATTGACTGCTGGTAGAAATAAAACACCTCAAGTTATACACCTGTAAAATTATTCGATTTACAATGCCGAAAATTGCACGTGCAGAAACTTTGACAAAGAGGTAAAATGACAAAAAGTTTTGGTCTATTATATTTCCAAACAAAAGAATAACAACTGTTTTTATAGCACACCTTTGTTATTTTTAAATTTCAATGAGATAATTAGTGTAGTTACTGTAAATTATGAGATTTTGAAAAAACACGTTGTCTACGTACCTTTTTGCCGCTTGAAGCAAAAGAAAAGATGGTGGATGGTGTTGGACCAGAAATTTAGGGATTTTTAGCTGAACGGTCAAATGCAACGTTGCCGCTTTCATTTAACATCTTCCGATACCGATCTTGATGCAAAAAGGGCGTTTGCCCTTAAACTCGCTCCCTGCAATAGCTTCCTATACATACTATATATTGTGAGTTTTCTTGACGGACGAATGTACAGGGTGAATTTCATTATAGACAAATATCTTTATATATAAACAAATTATTTTTTCAAAAAACCTGTTGATTAACCGTGGTTGAATAGGAATCCCATTGGTTAACGCCAAATTTATTCATCCACTTTATTTCGCCTTTTTCGGATTTGTTTCATACGTAGTAGAATCTTTGTATTTTCATTTTTATAGTGTACTACTCCAATCATTTCATTTATCCGCGCTCGGATTACACCATGTATACAGGGCGCAATTTATAATTCGCCGTATCTGGCGAAAGTGATGACCCAAATCCAAAATTATCATAAATTAAGTATAAATCATTGCAAACATGTTGCCATTGTAAATTACTGTAATTAAAATGGGCTAAATTATTATTATCGTGCCCTAGTCATAAAATTATGATTTTTTCAAATACAATGAATATTTTTTTGGTTGAACTAGAGTTCCAGAATTCTATGACGTAAATGTATAGAAAAATTGATAAAAAAGATATATTTTAAACAGTGTTAAACATGCCATGCCATTGATATTTTTTTAATCTTGTATAGCATAGCAATTTTAATATGATTATTAATGGAGAATTTTGTTCACTACATTGTTCAGTATATTTGCTCGAAAAATTCGTCTTTGATATAAAATTGTATCCTTAAACATTCGCCAGCGAAACATACCAGATGAATGACTTATGGCTTGGGGATCTCGCACACGAGTGTACGCAGGGAATCGAACTGAGCGTGCTCTTATTGTTTTTTTTAGATGCGCAGCTAACAAACGGCTCACAAAACATGTTTTTTATGTGCTTTCGAAGTCTATAGGTATCAAACATAAACGAAAAATATGTATAAGGTTATGTAACCATGTCATTAAACATTTTTTTGCTTACAAGATTAATGTTTATCTTTTCCAAGCCTTAAAAACATTTTATTTTAGTAGCAATATCAAAAAAACATTTCGGTAAATCACATGCAAAATATGATTTTTCAACAAACGTCTTTTGAATTTCAAAAATATTACTTAAATCTTGTGTAAAAATGCAAGAGGATATCTTTTTCTGTTACTCAGAAATAGTGTTAGAACCACAATATTTAATTTGCCGCTCGTACAGAAAACAAGTAATCTTGCTTTGACATTTTTTTGTTACTAAAACTTAAATCCGCAATGTGGAAACAAACCGAACAGTGTTTAATTAGGTACCATAAAATTTAATTTTTTAAAAGGTAATCTTAACACAAAAATTTGCATTTAAACCATTAAACGTTTTTCAAAAATCTGTGTACATTATTTATCGATTTTTCCGTGTCATAATTGCCCGCAGATATGTCACTCTTACTAGAAATAGAATGACCTATGTTACGCCACTGAGTTGGGCTTTGAGTAGGCGAAATGAAGAAAAAGGGCAACACTGCCGATTGTAGAATATTAAGCCAGATTCTTAACCTTGACCTTGAGTCTGAAAGTGGGAGACGGCGTGGAGGTGATGCTGGTTGTTTCAATCAACACCACACACCGCACCTCTCACTCTCACAGTCTCTTGCCATGGCGGATTTGGATTTTGGAATCTCTCATCGCATACTTATGTAGTCATTACCATTTGCCAACAACGAAATTGTTTATTTTTGTCCTTATCGGTTGTATATATTTAAATAAAACTGTCAAATGACCTACCTCACTTCCCGCATTATCAAAAGTGGTATCTAAAGTACATACAATCAAAACACAGCCCCCGCTTCATCTCAATTACACAACGGCAAACGCTCATTACAGTTTTCCTTTTTAATTAGCTATCACGCATCGCAGTGCGATAAATAAAGTGTAAAATGTACAGGTCGTGATAAAAAATGGTAATTTTTCGGCAAATCTTAAGAGTGCGCCTGAAATATATTTTAATTGCGGTAATTGTTTGTGGTACAATGTCCTTATTTAAAATTCAGGTATTATCCGCCTCTAGATATTTAACACGTGAGCACGAAGCTTATTTGCTTGCAGAAATTTACGTACACCCCACGAAACACGGAAAATTATCCGATTTTAATTTGGTGGACCCCCTTCATTTTCGAAAACAAAAAGCTGATTTCCTGTGAAGATAGGTACACGTGTGTTGTTACCAAAAACAGATCTCTAGAGTTTGATGTAGCGGTAAGTTTGAATTGTTCCCCGTATATGGCAGGTAAATATTATGTACGTACTTACTCAAAACGGTAAGACAGGGGGTGGGGGAGCATAAAAAAATTAAGTATTTTGGTATGGGACGAACGAAATTAAAATTATAAATTCGTTCACCAGATTCCCTGTAAAATATCAAATGCTTCCTCCCTTTTAAGTGACATATCGCTACAAAGCCAATTCAATATGAATTATTATTCAATAATAATACTATACCTACCTATAAGGGTATATGTATTTGGTTTAGTATTTACCATATACCGGATGGTGCCTAGCGCGACGCAGCATAGGGATTTCAATGGTAATTTTGTTATAGTCATTTACTAGCTCCCCTAATTATTTTAGAGCAAAAGTCTAAATAAGTTTTTTTAGAGAAAAAAATACTGCATCTGTTCATATGATTACTTATAATTTTCCGTTTTTCAAAACCGTAGAAATCGACAAAATAAAAAGGTTCATTTTACAATAAATCAAATATGCCTTGGAATTACCTAAAAAAAACAGCGATAACTTTTCATTATTTGCCTTTGACGTATATTAAATTTATACTTGTTTATAAATTAGTTAAAGAACTGCAAGTGCAATAACGTTTAAAATGTCCGTCAAACCATCAAGAAAACGACAATACATTCAACGTTTTGGCTGCAGTAGCGGAAAATCCGAATATAAGTTTAGGAACAAATCTGCTTCAAATCAGTTTTTTTTCTTCGATTATGTAGGTACTCTGATTCTCTCTGATAAACAAATAGTATCTGATGCAGATGCAGCATACATTTTCTAAAAAAACATTACCCAATTGCAATTCTTGCATCGGAGTTGTAATAGAAATAAATATGAAAATCGTTCGACGTCAAATAACGATAACTTATATGCGATGCGCTTGTAGTTTGTTAAAAGATTCCAAAGCATCACTGATTTATAAAAATGTAATTTTTTATTTTGTCGATTTCTAACATTAAACATTAAACAGCTGCTATAAATTTATTAATCCAGTCTTTAATGTAAACCAAATCACCTACTAAATTCATTTATTATGTTTCAATTACGTGTTTTATTTAATAAATATCCCACCATTATTTTCTAAGCTGTTTAGAAAATAACGGTGGTGGATATAATTACTTTATATCTAATCTTCACACACAGCAGTAATTCAAAGTTTTTAGGTCACTAGTACATTATCAGGGTCAATCAGTCAATTATTGGATAATAGTTCCAATTGGCTGTTATCAGTATATTCTGGTTACTGAAAATGCAGACTGTTACCTACCGAACTCTATCAATTTCTATTTTTACCGACCTATCTACAATGTTGCTTCTCGCACATTCAGATACAGTGAAACAGAAAGGATGATTTAAACAGGAAACGATAATGCGGTAGTACCTATCTAGACATTATAAATAAAGTTAGCCCCCAAGGTTACTGACTTGATCAACCTTGGGATTCAAAGGCTTTGTCCTTTTTCGTAGCTCTTTTAATACATAGATAAATGGTGCATAAGAAACTCAAAATGATTGAGAAATCGATAGGTATATTATAGAATTTGTATTAGGCAAGTTATTTGATGGATATCTCTATAGTGCCCAAATGCAAACAAATTTTGGTCCCTAGGGATTAACAAATTTGAGAAAAATTCCAAACGTTTTTCCTGATAGGAAGGCCATCAAATTTTTGTCCAAATCTCAAAATGTTCGTTTTTTCTTTAATTTTTTCTCAGGAATCATAACAGTAATTTGCAGCAGCTTTATTCAGGTTTTTGGGTAGGTAATGCTCTTTCTTGTTTTATGAAAATATTTAAAAATTCTTAATCCAAGATGGTGCAAAAGGTGCGAAAAAATCGACTAAATTTGGTATATGGGCTTTTCTCAACATGAAAAATAACGAATCAAAAATTAAATTTCGAAAACTCTCGAACGTCGTCGTGCCAAGTAGTTAACATGAAAAAATTCCTATTTTAATTTTACAAGATTATTTCATTATTTTCAAAGATATGTTCAAAGATATCCAAATACTACATTTTGTTAAGATAGGAATTTTGTCACACCCTTTGTTCAGAGGTAGCGATTTTGGGAATGGTGTACCCAAAAAACTAAGTAAAGCCATTCATTCCATCCCTGTGTTATGGTTGCTGAAAAAAAATTAAGTAAAGCTCAAATTTTGAGTCACCTCAGTTTATTTGGAAGATGAGTCTGATTTTGGCCCCCTTTAAAACCACCCCAGTTAGCCGACTCGCCCTGGTGCATACGAACATTGTGCTGCAACAAGATCTTTGGTCTGGAATTCATTTAACTTGGGCGGGACTTCTTGAGTTGTACAACTTTCGCGGCCGCCTACAGCAAAGTATACTTAATTATGGTCTATTTTCAGGCGTATTTATTTTATGGAAGCAATTTCAAAGAAGACGATTTACCTCTACCAAAAAAGAACATTCCATGGGCCATTTTTCACGAGGAATCCCCCAAAAATTTACCATTTTTTCTATACGAAGAAGGGCAGCACTTGTTTAATATTACCTCAACATTTAGTCGCGACAGCAGCTTACCGTTAGTATTGCAATACTTAGAAGATTTACAATTAATTACAGGTAATACCTATATAACTCGTCATACCCCTTCAAAAGCCCCAAAAATTCCAGATACAACTTATTATGTCAACCTGAAGCAGAAAAATAAGCTTTTGAAACAAATATCTCCAGTTCTTTATATACAATCCGATTGTGAAACTCCCATAGAACGGGATCTTTATGTTTCCGAATTAATGAAGTACATCGCTGTGGATTCGTACGGAAGCTGTCTAAATAATAAACGGTTACCTGAACAGTATGTGCCTAATGCATAATTTGTTGTGCAATTTTTCTGAAAGGTTTTTACAGACACTCTGTAAATAAAATCTTGACGAATTTGTACGATGAAGACTTCATGAAATTTGTTGCACAGTACAAGTTTACGATAGCTATAGAAAATTCCATTTGTAACGACTACGTCACAGAGAAATTGTGGAGACCCTTAATCGCAGGATCTATACCTATTTATTGGGGATCGCCAACAGTTACAGTAATATACAATTATGGGGATCTCTCATGACAGAGTACACAATGTACTTTTGCGTTTACGAAACTAATCTTTGCCAATTTTTTGGTCAAATTGTGTACTGTTTGTCTTGTGAGAGGTTCCTCTTAAAATGCGTCCAAACTCGTGTTTATTTCAGGATTGGTTACCAAACAATCAATCTGCTATACTCATCGAAGACTACAAGAACGCCTCGCACCTAGCAGACTACATAAAATCTGTGAACACTAACGACAAACTTTATGACAGTTACATGGAACATAAGTTATCGGGTCGTGTCGAAAATCAGCTATTAAAAGATAAGCTCAAAGGAGGTTCTTACGGGATTATGAACAATAAATACTTTCCAGTACCTGCTTTTGAATGTTTTGTTTGTAAATCAATGTATGAGAGATATTCCAGCAATAATAATAGAAATAGGTCGGTGTACAAATGTGAACAGCCGAAGTCACGTGATACAAAAAGAGAAAACTGGTGGATCTCACATTGGAAATATGGGCAATGTCAAGCAAAAGCCTTGTCCTATTTAATCGAAACATTAAATGTTTCCAATTATACCAAAGAAGTATTTGATAAACAGATAGAGTTTTATTTAAGTAATGGTTATTGTTAAACTTTGTTGTTATTGTACGTTTTATATTATAGTTTTTTATCGTTTCCTTTCATGTCTTATCTTTTGTGTTATTCCTTAAACGCCACATCAGTAGGTATACGTACTAATTGCATATCCACACCACCGATTGCCAAGTTTTGGTTTCTTGTAAGGGTTGGAACTCGTATGAAATATTATTATAAACCAGTTACCAAATTCTTGATAGAACAGCTTCCTAGCTAAAAAAAAATATAAAAAAAAAAATGTTTGACAGTCTTACATCCTGTATGCCCAATACCTTTCATAGTCTAAGCCTAATAACACACTGCCAAAAGGGATATTAATATGCTGTATGTACCTACCGCTTTATTACTAAACACTAAATTGTTCAAATTCACACAGGAAAATTTTTGTTAACCTTTTCAATGTAATTTCGATGGCCTTAAAACGATTAATTACAGTAAATTTTTTATTGGTACTTAATTGAAAATTGGTTTGTTTCCTTCCTTCTATTGTTTTGGGCATCTTTTTTATAACAAAGGACTCGACTCATCTCTTTTTTTCATGTTTGTCTATTGATTTTACCTTTTATTTTAATATCACAATCACAACGCAAAATATAATTAATAATACATTGTAACTCCTAATTAGAATTAATTTAATTTTGGTGAAAAAAATTTTTTTCTCCAACCACCTGAATAAGACGCTATTTTGTGACAGTGTTCGATACGTCAAATTGGCGTTTTGCGGATTAATCGCTATCACCATGGCAACTGTACAAAAAGTGGATACTTCTGGTTCTAGTACCAAAAAGAAATTGACCTTGAAAGTTGGCCAATTAAAAAATTACTATCACGGAGATATGTCACATTGACATCGTTTTACATTACAGGTTGTAAGATATTTCTATACGTAGAAATCAAATATTTTTGCATATTCAATACAAATAATGCTGTTACCTATACGTATGTACATACATGTATTGAAAATGATTTATGCTCGCTATTTTTATTTAAACCATGTGTAACGTAATTTACATATTCGGTGAACGTAATTTTAATACGTATACAACCCGCCGTCGCGCGTAACGCCATCTACTTAAGACACATTGCACTATTATCTGTCATTTTGAATTCAAAATTTGACAAAATTAATTGCAATTAATTTTAATTAAAAAACTGTATGGTAAGTTTTTTATTTCAATACAAAAAGAATATTAATTTTGTATACAATAGAAATGACTGAAACTGTAGGGACATGGATAGCACTCCGCCAGAGATTATAAAAACGGCAGAACATGCTACCCTAGATTTGCTCCCTACAAAGTCGCGAGAGGTGAGAAGTAAGAACGAATAGGTTATAAGTTAACCTAAATACTAGAGTGGCATGACACGTGAGGACAAGAAAGCAGAAGTTCTCAATCTAGTATAGTGAAACTGTGAACTGAATCTAAATTCGAATATAATTTAAAGTAAAGGGGGTTGGAGAAAAATTTTATGTTTTATTCGTACAAAAAATGCGTTTTCGGGACTCGAATTAATTCCAAATAACAAAATATCGACTCAAACCGTTAATCTTTTGTTTTTGCGACATTGTCAACCAACACATGCGAAATTATGGCTTACTAGTAGGCTTGGGACACTTCGCGACCCGAAGGACCAACATTCAAATGAGTATAACTTTTGTTTGAAAAGTTATTTTAAAAAACTGTTCGACAGTTTTGTTCCTTAACTCGTTTAGTATGTACACAACAAATTTCGTGGAATTATCTCTATTTTCGTTGTCCCGCCAAGAATTGCAGTGGAACTTTTTTTTTCGAATTTTCAAAAACTAATTTCAGATTCGTGATTTTCATGTTAAAAAAACCCCAGATACCAAATTTCGTCGAAATCAGAATTTTTTTTTGCACCCTAGTTTAGGGGTGCGCCCTTTAGGGGTAGGAATTTTGAAAAAAAAATTGCAAAATCGGAAAGAGCATACCCAAAAACCTATTCAAAGACATGCCACCCGACTTTGTAACTCTTATGGTTGCTGAGAAAAAAATTAAAGAAGAAATGCAGATTTCAACACTCTTTGGGGGGTGGCTCCCAAACGAAACACGTTGGACCCTCGGTTTATTTGGAAAAAGTGCTTGTTTTGATGCCCTCTACAACCCGATTTTTTTTTTCGAACGGTCGTGTAACACCCTGTATAGCTCAGGAAAACCATGGTAGAAAGTTCATTAAAAAACGGTTTTATATTTACATTAAATTCCTTTAAAACTCTTACTGTTATAAGGAGATGAGCCTAAAGGGCTCAAACAAGGTGGTGCTCGCATATAAATACACGCTTTAAATGTGTAGGTATATCTCGCTTAATGTTTGTCATACAGAAAATTCCCAGTGAGAAATTAAAAAAACTACAATTTGATGCTGTAGCTCTTTTTTACGTATTCCAGTTGTTTTGGGAGTTATGTTGAAGATAAGTATGTAAGTATTCTAAACTGGTCATACTTGTAGAATGTATTAATAATACGTAATTAGAGAAAACTGGAATAGGAGGAAGACTAAATTGGGGTGGTAATTCTGTGTCAAAATCATTTAAAAAATCAACTGGTATCAAAATCTACTTTTTGACGCACCCTGTATATTTATTTTCTCTTTAGTGCAAAAAATTATGTTGGATGACATTTTTTTAAACCAAACACTAATTTTTAAATGAATTTGTTACATATTTTAGACGCTCACTCTATTTAAACTTACTATTTTCAGGTGGCATGGCCCTTCATGTTAAAATGAAGCCAATGTATGGTTAATAATAAGCTCAAATTATTCTTTTGCACTAAGATAAAAACTTGCTCCGAGATTGTACCTAGTATTGGGGAACGGATTTAAAAGGCAAAGATTGGGGAATACATTTCAATATATTTGATAATAAAAGCAAGAAAATAAGTTTTGTTATCTCGTACTCGGTTTGTTTTTTTAAATATCAGGAAAGCTGATTTTACCGACCAGTTCAATAAAATGGTTCATTTTCACAATTGCACTCTTTGCAAGTTTTTATCATGAAAACAAAAACATTTTTAGTAACCCAGCATTCAAAGTCCACAGACTCTCATATCTATATGAGATTCTTACTTTTTCTACATCTAGTAGAAGTTTCCTCTTTGCATACAGTACATGTTATGTCTGTACAAATCAACAACTCTGTATAAATAATATTCCAACACTGTGTATCTACAATTTCATGTTTACTTTTTTTTCAAAATTAATCATATCACTCAATATATTCAATTTGCATTCCCATCAATTTTAAGACAAATAACATTACAATATAACCAAATATAAAAACAATTATTGGCTTTGTAAAACCTTAGAAAGATTATCTCTGAGAGTTTCAATTTGCCTACGTATCTCAGGATCCAAGTCTGGTATCTGTGATGCGCGAATTCCCCTTTCTGGTTGAATGGCACATACCCTTCCATCAAGCAGCGGTATATTCACGCTCGGTTTTGCATGGCTTACAATATGGTCAACCATAAGAGGACTTCCTTGCATAGAGAGTGCGATTTCACCTTGTTTAGGTCTACGTAAAACTACTTGCGGTGTATTAGGTTTCACCTACAAGAAGGTTAGGTGGCGGATTACTCTGAACAAAATCACAAACCTTAGGAGTGATCATTCCGTATGATTCTATTTTTTTGTTCATTGGTGTCACTAAATTATTTGCCCGTACAGATGTGTTGGTTCGCGATAGTGATCTGCTGGGTCGAATTCTCTTAACAGTACTGGGGGGATTAGCTATGAGACGAATGAATAGCATAAAAAAGTGGTGCAGTTAAGTAAAAAGCAATAACAAACCCCTGGTTGTAGTTGAAGAGGAACGAGGCCTCCCTCTTGCTTTGCTAGCATTGAACGCCCTTACGCTTTTTTCGTACAGAGTTGTACTTTCCTTTGATTTAGTGTTTTCCTAAAAATCAAATAATCGTAAGTTGTTCCTTGTTTGTTGCTCAGTATGTTTACTGAAGAGACACCTACCAGTTCCTCAAATCTCAAGTTGCCATATTGAGAAAATTTGAGGAAACTTTCCTGGCATACATTCTCGACAGTCAGTAATAGTTGAGTGACTTTTGCTTCAATTTGCATATCTTTGACAGCCACTTAAAACATCACAATAAAACATTTAGCAAAGAAGCATAATTAAAATATACTTACTTTTTCTATCCAGCGCTTTCAAATAATTACTAACCACAGCATGGTCCAAATTCGATTTACTTGGCTTAAAATTATCAGATGTTTTTTGTTTTGGTAAACGTTTCGTTCTTGGCATTTTTTGCAGGCAATCCTCAATCCAATAATGCCTATAAATCACAAATCTCTCGTCTTTAGATTTCTGAAGTGACGGTAAACTTTTGCTTGTAACCGACGTTCTTCAATCTGTTTTTTGAAAGTTTGGTGATTATGCTCCACTGTTGCCACCCACGTGCTGGTGATTTCATATACAGGATGTTCCACTGTAACTGAACGAAGTCGTTCTTTCTGAAATTTTTAGGGCATTTCCACAAAAATTAAAAAAACATGCGCTATTGTGGTCACTTTGTCCGTCTGGTCTGGTCTGGTTATACTTTTTTCGCTATTTGGTTCGTGATGGTGTCGAGGCAGGATTTTTCTGTGCGTTTATAATACTGTATTGCTACCGTCCTGTCAGTGTGACCATCTTAGTTTTTCTTGTACTAACTTCGAATTTCATATCACAATTTGTTTTTATTTACAACTAGCTGACCCGACGGACGTTGTCCTCTTTCCTAGCTATGCATACCTAATCAATTTGAACTGGAATAAATAATAACAAAAAATGATTTCGAGAAATTCGCTGTGCCTAGAGCAGGTACCCCCCGCCCCCCCCCCTGCGCAATCGCGATTCTGCGCTTTTATGTCTAACAATATGTGTAGCAAATTTGGTTTAAAGCCGGATTTATAGTTCCGTAGCCGTAAGACCGTAAGAACGGAACCGTAAAACGAAAATAATACGATTTATAGTTCCGTAGTGGCAAGTGCCAGCTTGCGCATTAGCGCGCAACGAATTCTGTCATTGTATGTCATCTGTCAGTAAGAGTAACGTGCATTTAAAAATAATAATAACCAACAAAGTGTCAATAATTATTGTAAATAAACGAAACGAACGTCAGGATAAACTCAACTGTTTGAATTATCCGAGTACTGCCGACGACAAACGCGTTAGCACGATTTACCGTAAGAAATAAGATTTGGGCATTTCCTACGTACCGTAACCGTTCTAACGCAACGTTAACGCGAACTATAAATGTTCACGCGCAACAAGTAGGGTTTAATTCCAAACGTTACGGTACGGCGTTGCTTTTGGCGATTCAGAGCTAGCAACGTACCTTTTTTTTGCTGCGCCAAATGCCGTAATTTGAAAACAATTGTTTTATTTCTGGATATGAGTAAAAAATGTATAGACTCTGGCCCATTTCCGGAAACCAAGGAATGTAGTGGCTCTGGTGGCGGTACCAATGGCGTCAATTAATAATTAATAATTTAAAGTTGTTCAGAATTGAAAGGTGCATACAAAAATGTTTTTACATGTTCTAGTTCTTTTAAGCTTTTGGTATACCCGTAAATTTAAAAATAAATTTGGACATTTCTGTTATTAGAATAGCAATTCATAAAACAACAAAAGTCATGGCTATTTGCTACTAATAACAGAAATTTATTTTTGAATTTGCGGGTATACCAAAAGCTTAATATAAAACATGTAAAAACAGTGTTGTATACACCTTTTAATTTTGAACAACTTTAAACTCTACAGTTTTTTCTGTAAAATGTACAGGAGGGCAGAATATTGCATAAAACTAATTTCCCATGTTAAATCCCTATTCCTACTTACCGTACACCACCCGGTATGTTTGACTTGTAGGATTACGAATTCTGCGACCTAAGTTGGTACCTACTATGTTGGTACGTCTAATTAGTAGCATCTTGAAAAAACTAAAATTCAACTGAAAATAGAAATTAACTCCCTAGTGTTTCTGTATAACTATGTATACCACGTGTTTAGTCTATCAACACTTACCAAAAATGAATATTGGGTAGGTATATCAAACTTTTAATATAAAAGGCGTGAATGCGGTGAAATAGCATCGACATTTCTCAAAAAACTCACTGAAATCTGGATAAACTTTCCGATCGAATTGACAGCACACACATTTTTTGACGAATATATGCCGATCGATGTAGCTGTTAAAACAATTGCTGCCGCACCGTCAAACGCGCGATATTTAAATAGTCGTTGTTTTCTCCAATTTTCTGCGCGATTTTCTTAGTCTTTCTTGCCGTAAGAACCTTCTACACAGTATTAGAAAACTTAAAAAAAAAAGATGAATGAAATCGGTAAAGTCGTTCTAAAGTTATTGCGTGACCAGAAAAAACAGCTAGGGGTTCATTTTTATATATAGAGATATGCACAAATAAATGCTGATATTTGAAGCGTGCCGTTGCTCGATGCTTTTTTTTAGGACCATTAACGGAATCATTTTTCTTTTTGTATACATGATTATGCCTTCATATTGTTTTATTTAGTATTTATTTATGGATTCGGGTTACAAATGTGTTGCTATGTATGTTTCGACTTACTATTCCTTGAAGGGAGTACTGTATATTCAGTTTGATTCTCCGCTGTATATGTTATGCTTCTTCGTCTATTGCAGACCACAGATCTTGCGTCTTAGCAATTCGAGAAGGGGTCTTGTAATTAACTTTTCTTCTATTACTCAATGCAGTTTTCTTGTGCAATAATAGACTTTAACATGAATAATAATATAATAATAATAGTTTATTGCCATGAATAAATTCCTTTACATTGGCATTGTCATGGATGTGGAATATGTAGAAAAAAGATGCAGAAAGATACAGAGGACAAACGTTATACATTGAGGGAAATAAGTTATTATTTTGTCCGTGGTTTAATTTGCACCAAGGTCGCCAACGGAGTAGTAATTTCTTTCAAGTAGATGTAATTTTAATTTTTTTAAATAATTGAAGATTTCTTGATTGTTTTATTGCCTTTGGTAGGTATAGCATTGAACACTTTGATGCAATTATAGTAATGACTTATTACTGTTGGCATTCTCACATGTATTTGACGTGTTCTGGTTTGCACATGCAATTACCATTTTACGAGCTGTTTTGCCTAAATTATACTGAAGATATGTTTTGCACTTGATTTGATTTAGTATATTTTTCACTAGTATTTATGTCTCTTGTTTGCACTGCATTTCAATCAATTATCTGATTTGATTTATCATATTTTCCATTATATACGACGATAAAGGGAAACTTAACTATCTTTCACTCGATGGTTAAAACATCTCTTTAATGTCTTGTACAATAAATATTTTTTCTATTTAACAGACTGAATAACTTTTTTTAAATCGTAGGATCCCAATAAATTAATGAGAATCAATGAATTGGGATTACGGGAAAGGGAGCGAAATACGGCTAGACCACTACATGGTATATTGAGTACTAAATTTAGTTCTGGTATACGTATACCTACGTAATGAACAAAGTCAGTACAACACAAGACTAAATTTAGTACCAAATGATAGACAATTTGTGCGAGTGTTTATTTTGTTGAACCGAACTAGGATAAAAGATCGCACGTTATTTGAAGTTAGTACCCGTATTGATTGAATAATAATTCAGATTCTTTATTCAATGCTGTATCTATGTTAGGGAGGCACTGTATCATACCCATCTGATGAATGCGTCAACATAGAAGAGTGTCATATTTTTGTAAAAAATACGCACTACAAAATCAGTGCAGCAAGACATTGTGGTTACTAAAACCACAGATACATGCTTTACATATATCTGTCCTAAAACTGAACCAATATATATAGTTTGAAAAGGGCATAAACTTAAAAAAAACACAGAGCGCATGCGTTAAAATGTAACTACTTTTGAGTGGCATGCCAGTTAGAAAATAAAACGAAATTGTTTCCAATAGGCTGTATTGGGTTTTTTTGAAAATACTACCAAAAAATTTATAATTTGGAATTGCCTACATACCTACCAATCTGCCACAACATTCAAGAGGGTTACAGTGATCAAATCTTTTAGCGGAAGTAGAACTCACAGGAAGTTTATTTTTCCCCTCTTATCTAGGTATAACCAACAAAATTACAGGTTCCTATGTATTCTTCCGTTTCCATTATTATCACTTGGCAGAAATACATCCTTTTTTCCTGTTTCACAATTTAATAATATTCATAAAATATATGCTATTATAATTTAGAGTTCCTTCAATAATGAAGACTGTTGGGTGTGATGTTATGTAACATCTAAGACAGTTGAAATAACACCAAATGTCACTATTATTTTGAATGGAAGCATATGGGAAAACGTTGTTAGAACTACCCTCAAAAATTCAGTTCAGTCGATACAGATAGAACCAAACCAAGTATTGCCAAATGGAGCAAGTGTCACTAAATTTCACCCTTAATCCAACATCATTTTTTCAAGGCAGGGATCAGTACTGTTTGTACTACTCCGTACCAAAGGGTGAAAATTAGAAAGAAATGCTTTGACCCTGGTTATAACATTCAATGAGGGGACTTAGGAATATCAATGTTATAAATCGAGAAAACAATATATTCAGTAAATATTTCTAAATTTAAAACAGGACTTAATAATTAAGAAAATTGTCACTCATCTATTAACTTACAAATAAGATGAATACAATCTACCAATTAAAAATACAAGGTTCTGTTCTTCAAGAACTTTAAAGGAATGACTTCTAAATTAATGTTCATCTTGATGTAAAGCGTTACAAACATTGTTATCACAAAGTATGGATACGTTATTGTCTTAACAACCCTTCATAGTAAAGTACACTTGTGGTTTCCTTAAAATCAGTCACAGGGCCTCGACCCGATAATACATCTATTGACTTCTAAGTACAAAGACTCCCAAGTAAAAAACCGAAGTTTATTACAAACTGGTAAAAAAAAGGTATACAAGCATGCAGAATAGAGGCGTCCATTTTGTAATACTCTATACAAAAATAACATAATTTATTTACAATCAGAAGACATTCGTAGGAATCTCGTAGTGGTCAATCACTACCTCGCATCAGGAAGCTTAGGTGAGGTACATTGATTAACATCAGGAACTAACATTCCGACGTTCCCTCAAAGATTTGACACTAAAAAAAGCAAATGATTTTTATCATTTAAAAATCACTCGCAATGAGATTGCTTTAGGAGTATGCTAAACATAAATAAATTCATCTAAAATAAGTCCAAGGTAGTAACATCATGCAGTTTATTCCATGGCGCAAAAGCAAACCCTTACCAAAATTGCACTATTGAATACAATGTCAGTCGTACTTAGGCTTGCTCCGCCTGCTAAACCCGAACAATTTTCGTTTGGGTTTCTTCATTTCGTCGTCAATTAAAGAGGAGTCCGTCGAATATATATCGTCTTCGAGCGATATGGACGGTTGCTCCTTAATCATTTGCTGTTTAAAATTCTTTTGCTTAACCACTCGGTCTAGGGCGTTTTCGGAACTGGCCGGTTTAGGACACGTCGCTATTTCGGACGATATGTTAATGTCCTGAGAAGATGACCTGATAATGTTTGCGGATTTGAGAGAACTAGGTATATTATTATTGCTGCTGCTCCGTAAGGATGGCGGCTGCGAAGACACTCGTGTATGCTTCAAAATTGCTGGCTCCTCTTGAGAACTGAAAGATGACAGGACCAAAATTAATTTTTAAGTGTAACTTTGATGTGGGCTAATGGATAATTAAAAATGAATATGACTTTTCATTGTTAAAACTTTTATCTAAATAAAAAATTCGTGTGTTTGAATAGCGAAAGTTCATGTGACACAATCATGTGTTCCATTACTTAAATTGGTTGGATATTACACAGTACTGCCACATAGTTCTATATACAATGAGTTTTTCTTAAAGGTGAATATACACTGTAATTTGCCCTAAGTCCGCTTTTAAAAAAACACATCAACTAAATTGGCAACTGCTGTACTTTTCCTTTTAATTATTTTATTAACCAATTGATAAAATGCATTTTTGTTAAAATCCAATTAAATGAAAATACTTAATGAAACAGGTTCATTTGCCATTGAACTGCACCACATACTTTTGCGGATTATTGTATTAGGTTGACCTGTTTCTTTTAAAAGTAAATATAGGGATTGTATGTTCACTCACACTCTTCTTGGGATTACTTACACTTCAGCACCAACCAAAAATTGGACAGCAGTACGAGGTAAATTTTTTGATTCAACCGTCAGTTCTTCCTCAGTTTTGCTAGCTTCGCTGCCTGATGAATCCGCCTCACGCCAACCTAATTGTGATGCATTTTCAGTGTAACCTGTACAGAAATAGTGGATTAAATACAAAACATTCTATTAAAATACTTTCATTTACAACAACTGAAAAACCAAGCATGGTGGAGCAATAGCAACAGTAAGAAAACGCCCATTACCAACTTTACATTGGCGATGATAAATCTATTTTTTTAACTTTATTGACATAAATTGTTTGTTTTTCTTAACAAATGAAGAAGAGTATGTACAGCAGTAGCAGTAAGCAATGTTACAGAATGATCTGATCATCTAAGTAGTTCCAATGAGACTATACTAAACTGCTTACCTTCTCAAAAGAAGAACCCAATTATAAAAAACAACATAGATCTAATCACCAAACATTGAGACAGTGAGTAACTGGTGGATAAAAGAGAAGATCGGCAAAGTGTGCAAGAAAAATTAAAATCAACATAATGTTTAACTTGTATAATTGCATAAGAAAACTTTACAACTGACCGTGTCTACAAAATAAAAATCTACGGTAACAAAACATGCACAAAATAAATATATTCAATCAATAAATAAATGTACATCGTTAACATATTCTTAACTAATTGTAACATTTCGTATTGCACTACGATTCCGGATTTTATTAACACAATTCACCTTTAGAGGAACAAGTTAAGTACACCAGTTTAAGTTAATAAAACATTAAAAAAACCTAAGAAAAATAGTAATAGGTATCGAATTTCTATTCAAACTACATCCAACATTTTAACAATGGAAGTCTAAGCAGTACTTTGCCAACAGAAAAATTAAGTGTAAGAATATTTGTGGTGGGTGGCATTGTTTCGTAGCTAGAAAAGAAATTCTCTTCCGTGTTCAGTCTTACAAATATAAGGTAATATCAACTTAACTTTTGTGTCCACTGACTATATTATTATGTTATCGCTTGGCAGCGGGTAACTTGACCACAAATGTTACTAATTCTATTGCATGAGACACTGAATTCTTAAAGAATGCACGCTTTCATTCCACCCAGTGTTAAAAAAATATATCATGTTCAATTAGACCATCTGGTAATGTACTGTAAGGAATAGACCATGTAGTAGACCAACAAACGGATAAAAAACTGAAAATCATATACAGTGTTATTAGCTTTACTGTCGTACAAAAGATTGTGCCAGTCTCATCGTTTGTTGCTGTTAAAAACCCGTATTAGGTATTAACTCTTTCCTTCTGAATTATAAATTACTATGCGATAGTTTAGCGGCAAACATCGAGAATGAACAACCTACTGACATAGGGACAATCTTGTGTAGTAGAGAGAGTAGATTTAAGTACTGCAATTTCTATGCCACTGGTATAACTGCCAATCACAATGACAAAAGGTCAGCCTCACATGGCTAGCTGCCAAATGGAATCATGCTGCCACATTCTAGTGAGAACAACTTAAGAGTTCATGTATATTTGTGTTGCTCGATTTGTACTCCCTCTGCCCAAAACGAAAAATAATCTATCCTCAATATCCCACTTCTGAGTAAATTTTTTTAAAGTATACATAAAGATAAAACATGGGAAAAAGAAGAAAACTTCGAATACATACTACCATGACTGTAGAGAGTCAGATAAAGGGTCATTTGTACGCAAATTAATTTTACAATTGTAATTGCATATTAACATACGAATTGGTATTTTCGAAACTATCTGAGCAACAATAAGGTATAAGAATAGGACATAAAATAAGTGTATAATAGGAACTGGCTGTTACGTCAACTTTTTACGTTTTGTTAGATTTAAGGTATGTCACATATTTTTTAATTTTGTTATTTGACTCTATCGTTATAACAAAGACAAAGATGACGCTTAATTATGAGCTACATCATTGAACTGTCAAACTTCATTCATTTTTGGTTAGGTTTATAAGTGACATATGACTCGACATGCCACTTCCAACTTGCGAGTATTAAAGAGAGATAACCTAGATATGACGCAATCGCGAATTCCTATTACACAGAATTTATCACTGCAAATTTTATATTTAGCGCCGTCTAGTTAGTTCGTACTTTGCTCATACCCCACGATGGCGCTACAAACGTTCACTATTACAGTGTGACCATGAAGTCACCTTGCTGGAAGCAATTGTGGCAATAATAAGACTTAATGATAAAGTTGGTTAAAAAAAACATGATGGGCATGGACATTTGTATAGCGAGCTGTATAAAGCGCTGGCAGTTCTGGGTTATATGGTCAAAGGAAGAAAGATAAATTGGATACACACGCTCAACTTTTAGCCTAATTAACCAAATTGGCATAGTCAAAAAAACTATTTTCTATAACCTAGGTATACGATAAACGTAAGACAATAATCGAAACTAAAGATTCTTTATTTAATATGATTTAAATACACAAACAAAAGTCATAGTAAAGGAAATGAACAAGCATTTTCGATTTGGTCACAAAAAAAAATCAAAACAAAAAATTTAAGTAAAAAATTTCTAAACAATGTATACATTACATTTGCATCATCAGAAGCTGCACATAAAACTCAAAATATTACAGATGAAACTGTGTGTTTAGTACCTCTTATGAACAAACTTCAGAAATCTATGAATTGCTGCCCTATATAATAATTTTAGATCCCTATATTTTATTTTGTTCAATAATTGGCTCAATTTTTCAATCAAAAATCATGGTACTCAGTAATCTAGTTACCATTCAAAAATGTATGTATTGTAATACTGAAACTCTAGATTTATTTATAAAAATGGTAAAAAAAATAAGATAAAAACTGCAAACACTAATTGTCCTCCCAATCTTTGAAGTTTACCGCAATAATTTAAGTTGATTAGAGGACACAAGACCTCTAAAATGCGGGACGTTTCCAAATTTCACCAGTTCAAGCTTATTGACGAACGCTGAAAGACAAAACAGTTATGATGTTTGGAGTCCTTAAAACAATAGCACCTTAGTCCATCCAAATCCAAAAGTAAACTCACTTCCCTAACATGTAATCTTATGGCTAAAAGCAATTGCGATCAGGATCACACTTATACTTTACATTTGGTCTTTGGATGAACTTTAATTAAAGAAAACCAATCCAATGCAGATCCTTATTAAATGTCAACTCAAACGCAGTATTCTCATATCTTTCAAACACACTGAATTTACTTCGCGATTCAAATTAATAGAGATTATTCTTGTAGGTTTTGAAGCGGAATTGTACTCATTTGAAAGTGCCGCTTTTGATGTAAAAATATAACCCCTTACGTCAATTATGCTTTAAAACAGCCTTACTATTTGTGGCGTAATTACACTGACCACAAATTAAACAATCGTTACATTTCAATATATCGTGCTTTAACAAATTACAATTTAAACTTTTCTTACTATTTGAGGAATACCTAATCGCGCGTAACATCCTTTAATCGCTTTAGAGTTATTCTTATCATGAGTAGCGCAATTACTGTGTTCACAAATCAAATGTTTGAGAAGGTTGTGCGTGTTAATACGCTTAATTGTAGCATAATTACACTGATAGCAGTGATAGAAAGTTATTCAAAGTGGAGTGTGTCAAAGAATGACATATCTCCTATTTTTTGTTGGATAATTGCACTGTTCACAATTAAAGACCTTGGAAATGTTACGCGTTAGACGATGTCTCTTTAACTTATCCCAATTGTTGGTTGTGTAATTGCACTGTTCACAATTAAAAACTTTGAAAATATTATGATGATGATTTCTTATATTATCTTTATTGTTGGTTGCATAATTACACTGACCAAATTTAAAATCCTTGAAAATAACATGATAAAATGTGACGTTTTAAACCATCCTTGCTCTTAAAGTGCAGTTACATTGACTACAATCAAAATTTTTGGAAGTGTATTCATGGAGATTTTGTTTTGTGTATTGTATCCATGGTAATTAAGACAGCCGATACCAATAATTTCAAAATTTTGAAAAAAAATGATCTAATATATACTGATATAAAACAAATATTGTTTGATACATCATGTAATCAAGACGGAAAAAATTGAAATTAAAATATACAGGGTGTTGCATTTAAAAAATACCAATTTTGGATCAAATCTCAGAAACAGTGGTCCAAAATTTTTTCCCCTATGCCTACGTAAAAATATCTAAAATACGCAGTTTTTATTACCTTTTTTCTATCTTACATGGGTAGTGAGATTTGATAACGTCTCAAAAAGTCAAACTTTTCGTTTTCACCATGTAACTCAGAAACAAATGTAGCTGGATTGATTCTGTTTGTGGTATTAAAAGCTTCATAAAAAAGTGGCACAGATAAAACAGACGACGTATTACCTGCATTGGACAGAATTTATTGAGTTAAAGATATAATTCAGATAGCGTATCAATTTTGACCGTTATAGGAGATTTAAAATTGGCGCTTTATGTGAGTCCAATGTTCTCACATTTTGTTATCATAAATTTACCCAAATTATTTTTTAGATATACCAGTACCACATTATTTATTTAATACATAATACATTACAGGTAAAGAAAAAAAAAGGTAAGGTCATACCAGTTATAACCTAAGGAGTAACTACAAGACAATGAATCAGTACGCAAATATCAACAAATAGTGGCGCACCAACGTGGAGGTAACATTTTCAATCCTATACATCAGGAAACATAACAGTTTCTTTGACTATAAAACTAGAAAGTTAAAAAATCGAGTAAAAATAATGTCTTCTAGTTTTATTGTTTATGTAGTTACCTTGATCTGAGACACCCTGTATACAGAGCAGAGAAACCAAGATAAGTTTATACACAGAGAGATTACCAGCGTAAGATCTGCAGAGAGAGAAGTACCACACCAAATGCTTGAACCAGCATTTTTAAGTCCACTGCACTTCCTGAACATATTTAATACTCTTTTAACGATGCCATTACAGTAGTGTTTATTATCACAACTCATTAAATAAACGAATTTTAAATAATAAAGAAAAAATAAGGTCAACTCATCCTCGGCATTAGGTTCTGTAACACCATTTTCTTTGTTCAATAATGTGATTTAGTGGAAGGACAAGACTTCGATTTCAGATCATTGGTCGACCTACATGGTTTTCCAAACATTGCCAATGGAGAGACACAAATAAAAGTAGAAAAAACAATAAATTAAACAAATATATCAAAACAGCTCCTGGGTATGTCTATAGCTTGGCATTGCGTAATAATATGGCCAAAGCTATGCTCATATTGAATTTCATGCAATTCGGTTCGTAAGTAACGGAGATGTCAAAAAAGCCTTTCTTATTTTTGGCCAATTCACAAACTCCGATCTACAAATTGGATAAAGAATCCACCTGCAAAATTTCATCGTAATCGGTCTATTTGTTTTTGAGATGTACTAACGAACAGACACACACACACAAGAGCTAGGAGTTCGTTTATAATGAAAATTATGATACGAGGAAATAACTCTGTAAGCAACAAAAGTGAAGACAGTATAGAAGACCATAATTGAAAGAAAAATTCAGTAGTGTAACGGAAACGCTCCAGACGTGACGTCGCCTTTGGCGCTCTGGAATTTTCTAGGCGCGCGATACTGGGAATGATTGCGACGTTGTAATTACGCGAGTGTTCTGGACTTACATTGCTTGCGTGTATAAATGGTTGCGGACCGAACATCGCAGTAAGTTTTACTACCGAACGAGATCGAGTACGGATGAAACATCGAGCGCGGAAATATAAATTGCGAAGTGTGTGATATAAATAGTCGATATAAATTGTACAGTTTTTATAGTGTTTTAGTTTTGTTTAATAAATATTGATATAAATCGAACCCGAATTTATAAATCACGTTACAGTAGTAGAATAAGAGGATCTTTCACCTTTATTTAAATGGGTTCTTCTTTATATTGTTGAATCAGTCACAAGATAAGCAGTATCGCTGATGAGTTCAAAAATTTTTTCTTTCATTGAATTTCTGTATATTTCAGTTTCATGAAAATTACTAAATAAAACTAACTTAAAAGATCATCATTTCCGTTGTTAAAATTATGGCCTCATGTAGGGCATGGAAGCATTGAACATTAGACTGCTTTGTTCTGTTAGTAAGAGTAGAGCCCATTATTTACTTAAAACTATTGGACATCTTTCTTCTTTTTTGATAAATTAATTCTTATATATGTACACTTGAGAACAAAGTTTTGAGATTAAAGACTTTCTTAAACACTATCGCTATTTTATTTAAATGAGTAGTTATAACATTTAGGGTCAATCTCATGTTTCAGTTAATATTATCAGACAGTTAATTTTCACGACATCAAAATATGAATTCAAATATTAGGTTATCTATCAGATAAGTTTAACTAAAACAAAAAACAGGCGTTAATATTCAGGGGTTTAGAATATAATCCATTAAGGTAGAAATACCTATTTACCTTCTTCATCAATAAAGAATTCATTCTACAGCTTATCGAAAGGAAAAAGCACATACAGAATCTGTGTTTAACAGCGTTTAACATAATTTTAAAAATCAAAAAAATGTTTAAAACACAATGGTGCATAAGAGAGTAACAGAAATATTTATGTTTGTGATTGTTAAAAAGTACCAAGTCAAGTAGCTATGCAAATTCGTTCTTCCTAATAAACATTATCAGAAAAGAATTACCGCTCATAGAAAAATAATATCATTTAACAATAGCATCATTATGGCATTAAAAAAAGTACTGCTGCAAACGTTTTTTTCGTAACATAATTAGTCTACACGATGCATGAATTGTGTTAATAAAAAACACGACTACATAAAAAGCCCGATAGCCTAAATTGATGTCATCTTCATCAAACGTAGGATAAGGAAAGGACTGCATCACTCAAAAAAATTAGGTGACTCGTCAAAAGAGTTCGGCTTACCTGAAGCTACAGTGTACAACGAACAAGTATCATCATCCAAGTCATCCTGGCTGCTACTCATTCGCCCTACGGTAAAAATGTTATTATTGATGCACATAACTTTCAATTGCCAAACCTTTAAGACCGGTCATCGGTCGACCATTTAAATTAGTATTCCTATACAACATATTTTCTAATTGCTGTAGTCCACTATTACTAATTATATTGAAACCACACAGTAACTCGACTTGCTTCCAACGATACACTCGTTCCTGCAATTCCTGCGTGACTTCGTTTAGTGACGTTCTAGCCTCTACTATACTACGATCGACATCGTCAATGGACTTTCCATGGGTGGACACAAAAGCACCTACCAAACTAGAGCGTTTCTTACGAAGCTTCTCACACTTAATCAAAAGAGTCAATGTGGCGTTCGGAGACAGTTAGAAATACTTACGGCTTCCCTCGCCTGCTGCAATTGCTTCTCTGCAACCATCTTCTTTTTGATATACGCTTTATTTTCGATTTCGTGTGTGAGCTGCAGCCAGTGCTGCAAACCGACCGGCGGTGACCAGCACCGATCCTTCAGCTCTCCTTCGGCAATTTGAAGTTCGTGCCTCAACATCTGAAGATATTTGTTTGCTGTAGTGATCCATTTAAAGGATGGGCAGTCACAAATTGAAAAACAGACGGCAAAATAGCTTTTTGCACAGACTAGCGATTAGAGCGATGAGATTAGGACTTCCTAAAACCAGTGTGGTCACTACTTTTATTTAGAGTACAAAACTTTAGCCTATAGGAGGAGTTCATTCACACATTCAAGAAATGGCATAGCAAGAGAGAAAACTTTTAAAAGGAGATCAGTATCACAATTCAAACTGACTCACTATTATTTTTTTGAGTATCTAGTTATCTGGTGTTCAATAAATGTTCTGGTAAGATCGCCTTTTCTTTACGTTTCTACAAATTCAAATCAGTTTTCTTTTCAAAATGGAGTGCTTTCTTTGTCTTGTGTCAAAAATATTATTAAGTGCTATGTTCATTAATAGAAAGAGAAAACCACAGTCGACTACTACTGGAACGATTATTGAACGCCCATTATGGTAGGTACACACCTACAGCTTCGCCTGTCAAGTCCGTCAGTCGTAGGTGACCTGTCAAAACACCTCTTTATCCAATACAAGTCCACCGTCCATTTTACTTGGTTACAAATGTTTGAGAACAGAGCAATATACTGTGGACAACTAACAGGTCGATCCAAGAAGTACACCCGTCCACTTTCACAGCAAGCGTAGGGTCACTTCAGAGTTACCAAAACTGACAGTTTTTACTCATACATATTTCCAGGTCCACCTGATAAGTCACCTGCGACAAGTAGAATACAAAGGTGCACCTGTAGGTGTGTATCTACCTTTATTTACGCAAATTCTGAACTTGAAGAAAAAAATAATGTTTTTATGACCCTTGTCTCCATTGATAACATTTCCTAAAATAGTGTTTTCTTATAAAAAACACGATCGCGGGCAGAAAACCGAAACCCAATAAGCATTATATGATGAGAGAGACACATAACTTTACCAATGTTGATATTGACAGTAGCAATTAGTGTCATTGATACTAGTCTACTCACAAGACGCATGAATGGCATCAGCGCTTTTGGTTTGTTGTGTATTCAATTCCACTTCACACTGATATAATGCTTATTGGGTTTCTTTCTAGCCTATTATAAGTTAATTTTTTTTTATACTATAGTCCGTTTTTAAACTAAGAGGAGTGATTTAAATAGCTCCCGCGAAAAATCTGCATTGTGATTGGCTTATACGGCGCCGTTTTTACACAGACGCAATTTGAGGATCTTGACAATTCAGTTGACATCTTTATTCGCTGTGTCATTTACAATTGTGTTATTCGTAGTTTATTTAATTTTGCCCTTTTCGTGTATATCAGTGTGAACAGTCAGTTCTTATTAGAACTAAACCGGGTACCTGTACTTGATTTTGTTGGTGCAAATACTTCGAAATATGTCTTCCACGCCAAGTACTTAGTAAAGCGAACATTTCACCTGTAAAAAAGCGTACGCGTCTTAATTTGGGGCATTTATCGATCTCAGAAAAGCAGTTCATACTCGACTTATATAAACAGATGTTAAATGATGACCCTGGCACAAAGATGGTTACCATTGTTGCAAAAATTGATGAAGGCGCAGGTAAGAAACGAAATACAAATTAAATGTTAATTTAACACACACACTTTTTTATATAGGAATTGCAAAATCCACGGTTGACCGAACAATAAAGGAGTATAAGAAAACGGGAGCTGTAACACCTTCTAAACGTTCGGGGGGTCGCCCACCTTTGGTATCGCAATTTGACGAAAGCATAAAATCATCAGTTCGTCAAATTATTCACAACTTTTTCTACCTCAATGAACTTCCCACGTTGGACAAAATCAATAGTCGTGAAGAATGTGTCCTTCATCTACTTGAACGTGACGACATAATAAGATGGAGACGAAAGCATTTAAAATCTATTAAACAATATAGGAACCAAGGACGAGTCATATATTACTTAGATGAAACATGGTTAAATGAAGGCCATACAAAACAGTGTGGGCTGATGATAACGTTCGTACTCGACGACAAGCGTTTGAGGAAGGATTGTCTACCGGTTTAAAAAATCCTTCTGGAAAAGGGAAACGTCTCATTATTTTACATGTTGGCTCTGAAAACAGTTTCGTAAACGAGGGTCTACTACTTTTTGAAGGAAGAAAAACATCCATTATCACGAAGAAATGAATGCGGAAGTGTCTGAAGAATGGTTTGCATCTTTCTTAGTGAAAATTCCTGAAAATGCTGTAACTTTACAATATATTGTAGCTAGCACCTTTTGATTTTATAAAATGATTGCATTTATGTCTACATAATAATTAAAATTTCTTGTCAACCAAATTGTGTAGGGTAAAGTGTATTAAAAAGCCATAAAAATGATCAACACTGCATTTTTTTATAATGTATGCCTTATGTAGTAGGCAACCCATAATGCACATGTGTACGTATGTATCATACTTAAAACAATTGCCCAAAAGTTACTAAATTTAGTAACTTTTTCGGATGTAAATCAGACTTTTCAATTTACTCCTCTTAGTTTAAAAACAGAGTATAGTATACGTTGCGGCCGACTGACACATGTTGGTGACTATCATAACTTTCATTTAAGTATACAATACACTATTTGTATAACAATTTTTAAACTTCATTTAATTACCTTGGCAGGTACAACAGCTCCGATGGCATACCAGAAACGCCTGTTCCCTGTTTTGCTTGACTGATCGTAATATGTTTGTGTACACAACCACCGTACCACCATACAAAAACTAGCCTTAGTAAATTCGGAGACTTTTTTGTCACTGGCTCTCCGTCTAATCAGAAAGCGAGAAAATTACATTCATCATTTAATGTGGGAAAACTTTGCTGACGTCCGTAAACTAAACAATTGAAATTAATCTTTTATTACTTAGAAATTTGCCAACATTAACAATATTTTTAACTCATACTCCAGTGGCACCGCATTTTATAGCTTCTTAACGCAAAATGATAGTTCGTTTAAGGTTATGACCGCTTCAGCTAACCATAAAAATTAGAATAATATTATTGTAGAACAAAACGCTAGGTGTTCATCGATCCTGTAAAAAAGGTGTACTCTTAGTTGCTTATGCCAGTATTCTCCGTAGGATCTTAAATCTGCTCAAAAGTAAAACCGGCTTAAATTCCCTCTTTCTTATGCACTGTGAAATGTCAGCACCCTAAACCGGCTTTATCTTAAACCGCCGATGTCGGGGCTTAAAAGGCGCCTTAGGTTTAGCGCTTGCGTATTCAGTATATTGATGGTGTATTTCTAACGCCTGAATTTGATTTGCATTTTGTAAACAAAAAGTATTGCGTCCGGCTTTGGCTAATTTTTAATAATCGAATTTGAAGATGAAATATTTCTTGATGACGATGGCGATTTGTTAGACAGAATCGAGTTTCCTTAGAAGAGTCTACAAACGCCAAAATCCATTTGAATCCTTGGGACGATTTATCGTTTTACGGAAAACATAAAATCCTGCCTTTTCCTCTTTCTATTCCCATTGGAATTTTGGAAAGTGTTTTACTAAATCAGAAACCTTCGCGGACACAAGTAAATGATACGTTTTGATAGTCTATTTTTTGCTTCTCGCCCGAATTCGACGGTATGGATCCTTCTATAGTAGATCTCGATTTGGCGCACCTACTACGCCCCCACCTTGCACGACTCTTGCTAATTATAAATGTTTTTTTTTTCAATTTCCGGAATTTCCCTGTATCTTTAGAAAATGGTATTGTTTTATGTAATGTATTTCATTTTTTTCTATTAGCCATAGACGACATTTTTCTATAGTGGACAACATTAATTTCCACAGTAGGCACTGCCCACTCTGGCCGTCGCCTCGCTCTGAGCCTACATCCGTGTCAGTCCGTCTTGATACGAAAAATTGTGAAGGATTAACGTAAAATTCTTTAGAGCATAGGATAGATTATTACGTATTTTACAAAACCAAATAAATTTCCGATATTAAATAAGTATGTTCGTATCAATTGTTTTTGTTGATGATTTGCGGTAATAATGGCTTTTTTACATTTAAAAACATTTTTCGCTACAATATAATTAGATCCACCAGTAAAAAGTACCGGAAACCAAATACTTCAAGGCTATTTGACATGAATGCATTCGTTTCTTGATAACTGTTCAAAAATAAAGTGACCCCAAAAAACCAAAACGTCCGACAATCATGCCAGCGTGTAATAAAGAACATGTAACAATGGGAAAGTGTGATTTGTTTTCAAAAATCTGTTCTAATATAACCACAAAAAAAGTTTGCAATTTTTTATCGCCGAAAGTATTCAGAATTCTTTCGTTTTCGAAGTAGCCTTAGATTAGTTCCCAAAATGCCAAATTTGCCTCCATTTAACCAACTTTGTATCTCTTACGGTTTCCGAGATCCCAATGATCATTCTCGAATTTTGGACACCCTGAACATTTTGCTTCAAGTCTTGGGACAGATATCGGTGCATTATAATAGTTTTGGAAACCATTGGCAGTCTCCATTGCAACACCAAAAATGTTACCGTGACACACTGATAAGGTGGCTTTTTTTTTCAAAACTTGCAAGTGTTTTTGCATGTGCGTGTTTTTGGTGGTTTCGATGGGCTGGATTGACATTGCTACAAGCAATCTCAAATTTTATCAACGTTTGCAAATTTCTATTCATTTTCTTTTAATTTAGTTTGGTTCATTCTATTCTTTAACTAAAATTGCGCATGGACATTAGATGGCGAAGTAGTACTAGAGTGCGTACAGATCGATGAACACCTAGCGTTTCGTTCTGCCGCACAACCTTCAACTAACATCATTCCGCGTTAAATAGCTATAAAATGCGGGGGCGCCCGAGTACGTGCCAAAAGTATTGTAAATGTTTGCGAATCTTTATTCATTTTCGTAAATCACTTCGTTTCCGTGAAATAAAAGATAAACTTTAATTGTTTCAAGTTTACGGACGTCATCAAAGTTTTCCCACATTAAACGATGACGCCGCAATATTAGAATATTTTTTCGCTTTCTGAAACAAAATGCCCCAATAAATCATGCGTTAGTGCTTAACGCAAAACGGCTTGAATTTGGGACGTGACTTGCACTTGCTGCTTCCATAATGTTCACACATTGCCTTCCCTTAGTACTTTAAAAACAATGTATATTTAGGTTTCTTGACCAAAAATAAGAATTTTCATAAACCATTACCTTTAAACTGTCTTAATTTTGGAACTAATAAAATCTGAACAATCTGATATTTTTTACAACAATCAGTGATAACATGTAGTTGAAAGGACAATTCTCTATCTTTGTTAACTTCTCATTAGTTGTGTATGATGTCCATGGATGTTTTTGAATTTAAACTCTTATAAACCAAATTTAAATATATGCACTCACACCAAAAGAAAAAACAGAATTTTAGTATAATGAACGAGAAAATCCTCAAAATAGGGCTAGAATGAAATGCATAATGCCAAGGTCATTCAATGGAATGTTGATACCATCATAGGAGAATCTGCTGTATATTTAACTACATGCTACCTCTAAAATAGTAAGGAAAGCCAATATTTCAACATTACACTGAATCGAGCAAGTCATGACCTACTATGGAATGTCTACAGTGCCCCCGATTGTTTGGCAGTCTTTTGTAAAATACAAAAAATTGTCGGATTAAATTTTGAACTTCTGGGGATCGGCGCTGCTTGGTTGGAAACTAATTTGTGAGATAAAATCAAGGGTGCCTTTGATATGTTCAAAAAACGTTTGTTTGCATAGGAGGAAAGTACTCTCTGGAGACGAGATACGCACAAATGTTATTAAGAAACGTTGCTCAAAATGAAAAACTGAGTGCAAAAGTTCAAATTCCTAAGCCTACTTTGATTTGTTTAACGTTTTTATTTTGTGACTAGATTTTTTGAGGAAATCCGAAAAAATGTTACTTAAAAAAAACTTCAAAATAGAATGTTCCAATTGGAAGCGGCTAAGAACACCTAGATATTTTATTTAAATGTAGGTAAATTGAAGACTTCAATATCAACTTACAGAAATTTGCCACACGGTCATTATACCAACATTTTATTTTGAAGAGTAACATTTTTTCGATGTCCTAAAAAAATCCAGTAAAAAAATAAAAACAGTAGACCTAGGACCCTGAAATTTTGCACGTTGAGCAATTTTTCTTAATTACATTTTGCGTATCCCGTCCCCAAAAAGATTGCTATCCTAAAAACTTTTGAAAATTTCAAAGGCACCCTTGATTTTCGAAACCGAGCAGAGCTGAGCTCCAGTAGCTCCAAATTCAATTCGAACATTTTTTGTCTTTTGACACAGTGTACAGGGTGGCCAAATAAGAATGCGAGGTACTGTATCTGAGAACCTATCTATCGTTGAGGTTTGCGGTAAAAAAATTATTACTAAAACGGCCACGAGAAAAACCTGGAAAATATTTTTAAGTTTCTGAAATAGCTGCTAGGGGGCGTGACTGCAATCTGGAATCTAAAGTCACTAAATATAGAAAGTACCGCAATCCATTGGGCTCGTGTGTTAGAGAGAGAACGCATGATTTTTGCCCAAAAATGGCGGAAGTTACCAGATTCTAGTAACTTTAATGTTAGGGATTGTTCCACCTGTTTGGAGATATCTGTATATATTTTTATAAAACATGACAGTACTATGAAGTTAGGTTATAAAAAATACAGCTATTCAAATTTTATTTGTCAATTTTTTTAAGTTGGCAGCAAATTTGCCCAAAATTGGCGGATGATTGCGGTACTTTCTATACCTAGTGACTTTACTGGAATCTAAAAAAGTGATGTTTCTGTGAATTCCGCTACATTAACCTAACAAAAATGCACGGTCTTTGAAGTCGACGATAATCTGAACCTTTTTTGTTTGACAATTTTTGCCGTATATCTAAAAATGAAGTAGTGGGGGGTATTCAAAGGTTTCCGTGAAAGAACACCCTGTATCTTCCAAACGGCTAAGCCGGTTTAAACAAACTCGGATTAGTTCAAAAGAGCTATTCTTCAGCTACAAATATTATATTATTTGAAGTTTTGTTAGTTTCATATATCACCGCTTGAGGGCTTTTTTCGACATTCCGACAGAAATGATTAATTGGTTAGATTTTTTTTTTCATGAAAGATAGCTAAATGATGACTAAACAAGCTCGGAAAACTGCATCTCGATATCTTGAGAGAAAGAGAGAAAGAGAGAGAATTTACTAGTATACGGACCGTGATTTACGGCGGCTTCCTTTTTTAAATCGATCCACTTCAGGGCCACAAATTAAATAATAAACATAATTCCGGCAAAATTAGCTTAAAAAATAAAAATTTGAGGGTATAAAATTTTCATTGGCCTAAATTTTAGGTTAGGAATAAGATATCGAGATGCGGTTTTCGCAAGCTTGTTTAGGCATCATTTCGCTACTTTTTCATGAAAAAGAAATCGAACCAATGCATTCAATTTTTTTGAGAAAATTAACCATTTCTGTCGGAATGTCGAAAAAAGCCCTCAAGCGACGATATGTGAAACTTCAAATATTATAATATTTGTCTCTTTTCAATTAACCCGAGTTTGTTAAAATCGGCTCAGCCGTTTCGAAGATACAAGGTTTTCTTTACGGAAATCTTTGAATATCCCCCACCACTGCATTTTTAGAGATACATCAATAATTTTCAAACAAAAAAAGTTCAGATTATCGTTGACTTCAAAGACCGGGCATTTTTTTGTTAGGTTAATATAGCGGAATTCACAGAAACATCACTTTTTTAGATTCCAGATTGCAGTTACGCTCCCTAGCGGCCATTTCAGAAACTTAAAAATATTTTCCAGGTTTTTCTCGTGGCCGTTTTAGTAATAAATTTTTTTACCGCAAGGCTCTACCATGGATAGGTTCTCAGATACAGTACCTCGCATTCTTAGTTGGCCACCCTGTACATCATGTATAGGATAGGTTAATAAATTTGATGTAAATGCTTGGGCCTCAACAATTTTTGATTCAAGCACAAATTTTGCGAGTCACTGATAAAGGTTATGATTAATTAGATCCTGAAAAATTATTGTTGGTTGGTTTTACGACATTTAATATAATTTTTACTATCTAAACAGACATCATGTTGCGTCCCCAAACTAGAATAAAATATCCTTTCGTTTTTCCTTTAGTGAAAATCCCCTGTACATAACCGTTTTGCCTTGCCTGTATATATTCCTATTTGTTACGTGTGCGCGCATGAGCCGCAGAAGCGCAATATGTGTACTCGTCGCGCAGAATTCGTCGGATTCTTCGCTTAGAAGCCATCGACTCAACTACGTTGAGAAGTCGCCGTTAACCAATGGCCGATTAGCCTTCGTCGTTCGCATATAGATCTCGATCGATCCCCAACGGGTCAAGATGTCGCCGTGCAGTTCGCAACATCGTTATTAACAAGCAGAACGTCAAAGCACCGCACATCAATTAGAAGATTTCGTTGTAACAAAATCGACACAATTCGACAACTTCGTAGAATAGAGCAATCTTCGCCATTGCAACATCGCCTTCGTTGTTAATGGACTTCGAAACAACACGTAAGTTCCTTTGTTTACATTATCCCTTCGTAACTTTACCATATTCTAGTAGCCGTCGTGCCTACGTCAACCATATTCAATAGAAATTCATTTACTTTGTATTTTTTGATAATAAACACGTTTATTTATGTGTCTATATTCTTTCATTCCCAGCATAAACAAGGCCTTGGAAGTAATTCATAATTACAGTCCGCTTACAATCAAATTCTTTGTTATCGAAGCCCTCTTGTACGGTACATAATTTTTGGTCCTGTTCGAGCAGGATTCGTTTCGTTAGAAAAATCTTCCTATGCCTTAACGTTGAGGGTTTGAAAGAATTATTCAAAATTTACATTCGATTGTCTCGGAAGTTACAATTAACGATTCCGAAATTTGCATTGATAGTTTCGCATTTCATAGCATTGTATTTGAATGAAATATTTGCCCTTCATGTCGTACGTCGTGCGAGTCTGTAAACATTTGTGTTAAAATTTGCTTTCGTTGTTATCTCTTAGTTATCGTACTTATTGGGTTTTCCAAGCGTTGCCCTTTTTTATCACGCGCTATTGCACCTTTTGTACACGAATTTATCCTTATTAAATCGTTGCATTTGCATTTTATTTTGTCGTTATAATGGCTGCCAAATTGAAACAATTCCAAGCCTTTAGAAATATTTCGTTAACCACGCTTAATACCATCCACGCCTTATCTCAACAGGCGCGCGGTGATTTATCGATTAAAAATTTGTTTAATACGTGGTTTCAACAGGTCGAATCTTGCAAAGAGACCTTTGACCTTAATCAAGTAGAAATAGTATCGTTGTTAGCAGATAAACCTGACAATTTGCAACAAGAAATCGATGTAGGTGTAGATTTTCTCGCTAAATATGTAGAAATAAAAACTGTGTATTTAGAATTGTTCCCAATTTCGCGTGTACCAAATAGTAGTAATCCTCTTCGGCAATCGGTCGATGAGGAACAAAAACATTTCGTAGATCGCTTGCAAAAAATAGCTTTGCCTAAATTCGATGGCAACATTCGTAATTGGCCCCACTTTAGGGATTTATTTGTTAAATTAGTCGACGAAAAACCATACGCAGATGTGGAAAAATTTCACCTTTTAGCAGGTAGCCTTTCGGGCGAACCTCTTAATTTAGTTAAGTCAATTCCCATTTCGGATGACAATTATAAAATCGCCTTTCAAGCCTTGTTAGATAGGTACAATAATAATCGATTGTTAGCCACTTTGTATTGGAATGAAATCCAAAATATCCCGATTATACCCGTCGAATCCGCCTCGAGCTTGCGGAAATTATTGAACACTGTTCGTGAGAACTGTGAAGCTCTCAAATTGTTGAACCTTGCCGACACTTGGGACTTTGTCCTCTTTAATGTCATTATTCACAAACTCGACTCTGCTACGCGCAAAGAGATTGAAATTCGTTTAGATAAAAAGAAAATTCCTACATTTTCAGACATAGAGCCTTTGTTGAGCGAACATTGTTTGTCGTTAGAAGCCTTACAGGCACCACTTTTGTTGAACGTGACTGAATCTAATAGCAAAAATCCTCGTAGTTTCGAATCGGTTGGCAAACCGCAAAAATTGTCATTGTCGTCGTCTGGTACTTTTACCAAATCTCCTAGCAAGACCTCTCTGGTCGCAACTTCGTCGTCGCAGTCTCGTTCAAAACCTCCTCTCAAATGCCTCTTATGCTCTCGAAACCATAGCCTAATTAGTTGCCCTGCTTTCAACGAAAAGCAACCCCAAGATCGTTACGAAATCGCCAAACGTAATCGCATCTGTCTAAATTGTCTGGGTAGTGGACATGTCGTCGCTTCTTGTCCCTCCTCGCGGAATTGCCGCACTTGTGACGCTCGTCATCACACACTTTTGCATTTTTCGAATAGACCTTCTAGTCCTGTCGTTTTGCCATCTACAAGTGAATCAAATGGATCGAACCAATTGACCTCTTGCACTAGTCGTTGCTCAGCCACTTTCATGGCTTCCAATTCAGATCGTCCTCCCGTTTTACTGGGTACCATAGTTCTAGAGATTAGAGATCGTTTCGGTAGTTACCATATCGTTCGGGCCTTGCTGGATCCGGGCAGTCAAGCGTCCTATCTTTGTTCGAGCTTAGCAAACAAACTTCGTTTGCCTAAGCTAACCAATGCAGTGCCCATCTGTGGTTTAGGGCAAGTCGCAACCAAATCATCGTCTATAGTTACTGGAGAAATTCGTCCCAGTGATCGTACTGATCCCACATTTAAAGTAGATTTTTTCGTTTTGGATAAAATTTGTGGCAACTTGCCAAATGATAATGTCAGTTCTGATGTCCCCATGCCTGATAGAGTTAGATTGGCGGATTATGAATGGCACAGATCTCGTTCAGTTCAGATGTTACTGGGCGCAGACATCTACCCTCAAATCGCTAGCCCTGGTCTAGATAGGAGATGTAGAAATTTGGAACACCCTTTCTTGTTGGGTACAATATTTGGTCATGTAGTGTTAGGTCCGGTCAATGGCGCCAGGCCTCAACAAACCGTTACTTCGTTGTTTTCGTCGCTTAGTTCGGCTTCTTCCGTTCACTCGCCTTTGTCGTCCCTAGATAAAGTCGTCGAGGAATTTTGGAACGTCGAAGAAGTTCCGCCTGCACCAGCTGCAATCACTCCTGAGGATGATCGCGCGGAATCCATTTTTAGAAATTCGTTGTATAGGGAACCATCTGGTCGTTTTGGTGTTGCCCTCCCATTCAAGATTTCGAAACCTGCTTTCGAAAATTCTCTTGAAGTTGCAAATCGTCGTTTTCGTTCGTTGGAAAATCGTTTCGTTGGCCAACCTCTGTTGAAGTTGGACTCTAGTCATCTGACTCCATTAGTTTCTCAATTCGTTGAACAATTAGTAAATCGCTTCGCCCTAGGTTGCTTTGAGCTTCGCAAATGGGCATCCAATCGTGTGAAAGTTTTAGATTCGATTCCTTTAGATCATCGTCAGCCTCAAGCTCTTTCGTTTGATAGTGAATCTTCCGACACTGTCAAAATCCTTGGTCTTCAGTGGCGTTCAGCTTCTGATTCTTTCGCTTTTGTTGTCAATCCTCGTGACGTTTCGTGCACAAAACGCACACTTCTTTCGGAATTAGCTCGTATTTATGACCCTCTTGGATTCCTTGCACCAATTAGTTTCGTCGCAAAGTGTCTCATCCAACAGATTTGGTTGTTAGGTCTTGGTTGGGATGCAGAGCCTCCCAGTTGTATCGTTTCGCAATGGAATCAATTTAAAGTTGAATTACCTCAACTCTCTTCGCTTCGTATCCCTCGTGAGTTGACCCCGGGGGGTGATTTTGGTTCTGATTCGTATCTTTGCACATTGCATGGATTTTGTGATGCGTCTGAACGTGGCTACGCCGCCGTAGTCTACCTTAGTTTTTCGTTTTCCGATCGTAAATCTTGTACTTGTTTAGTTATTGCAAAATCTAAAGTAGCTCCCCTCAAGCAGTTATCCATTCCTCGTTTGGAACTCTGCGCTGCAGCACTCCTGGCTAAATTAGTCAAATTCGTTTTGGACACTTTTCGTGATATTGTCGTTATTGACAAAATTTTCGCATGGACTGATTCTACAATTGTCCTCAGTTGGATTCGTTCGTTACCTAGGCAGTGGAAAGTTTTCGTCAGCAATAGAATAGCTTACATTCATGAACGCATTCCTCCCGGATGTTGGCGTCATGTACCCTCTCAGAAAAATTCTGCTGACTCAGCGTCTCGTGGCTTATTGCCAAGTCAGCTACTTTCGCATCCTTTGTGGTGGTCAGGCCCTGATTTTTTGACTTTATCACCTAATTTCTGGCCTCCAGAGCCAATAAACATTTCGCACAATTTGGAGTTGAAAGATTCGTTTAGTTCTCGTCCCATAGTTTCTTGCCTCATTCAATGTATCGGAGGCCAAGATCATTTCGTACACTCGTTGTTAAAAAATTGTTCGTCGCTACCTAAATTCAAGCCATCGTTGCTTTAATTTTACGGTTTGTCCGTAATGTCAGACACCCTGCTGATCTTCGCTCAGGTTCTTTGTCATTATCGGAACGTCATAGTGCCTTGTTGTTTATAGTAAGAATTGTACAGGAAGAGGTGTTTGGAGACATTTTCGTCAAACTACGCTCTGCGAAGAATTTGCCTCGCTGGGTAGCAAAATTATCCCCTATGGTGGGCGGTGACAACCTGATTCGTGTTGGTGGTCGCTTAGAAAACTCGTCGTTGCCTTATGAATCCAAACATCCTGCCCTTTTACCAAAGTCGCATCGCTTGACTCAACTTATAGTTCGTAATACTCATCAAGAAAACTATCACACTGGCATCAACGCCACGATGTATTTGGTTCTTCAAAATTTTTGGATCGTTTCTGCTCGTCGTTCTATTCGTCGTTATCTGGCCGATTGCAATCGTTGCTTTCGCGTCAACCCCACTACTTATTGTCCTCCTTCGGCACATTTACCTTCCCTTCGGGTAAGCCATCTTAAGGCCTTCAGTGTTGTAGGTTGTGATTTTGCTGGGCCATTTACTATCACCGCAGCTAGATTTCGTGGAGCAAAAACCCTAAAGTCGTATTTGTGTATTTTTGTGTGTTTCGCGACCAAAGCTGTGCACTTAGAAGTCGTTTCGTCGTTATCTACTGATGCCTTCATTGGGTCAGTTAGACGCTTTATAGCTCGTCGTGGACGTTGTGTCCAAATTTTTAGCGATTGTGGTACCAATTTCGTCGGCGCGAATAGAGAATTTAATCGGTTGATGAAAAAATCTGTTGAATCCCAAGCTATCGCGTGGTCCTTTAACCCTCCCTCTGCTCCGCACTTTGGTGGGCTTTGGGAAAGCGGCGTCAAATCGGTAAAAAGACATTTAGTTAGAGTTGTAGGGAACCAAATCCTCACTTTGGAGGAATTTAATACTGTAGTTATAGAGATAGAAGCAATTCTTAATTCGAGACCTTTATGTCCCATTAGTACTGATCCTAATGATTTAGCTAGCTTGACCCCTGGTCATTTTTTAACCTTGGAGCCTTTGTCGTCCCCTCCGGATCCAGACTTATCCCACTTGAAATCCTCGCGTCTAGCTCGTTGGCAAATGGTGCAACACATGCAGCAGTCATTTTGGGCGCGTTGGAAAGCAGAATACTTGCACACTTTGTATCAGAAAAGCCATCGGGCTACTGACAAAAATCTCGTACCGGCCGACATTGGCACCTTAGTTTTGATTAAAGATGAAACCACGCCTCCGTTAAAGTGGAGACTTGGTCGCATTGACAATCTTTTTCCCGGTTCGGATGGAGTCGTTAGAGTTGCCTCCGTTCGTACAATTCGTGGGGTTCTCAAACGCCCTTTAGTAAAATTGTGCGCTTTGCCGTCACAATAATTTTCGTTTATTTGCTTTGTTTAATTTGTTTTATAGTAAATTCGTAGTTAGAATTTGGTGGGCGGTATGTTGCGTCCCCAAACTAGAATAAAATATCCTTTCGTTTTTCCTTTAGTGAAAATCCCCTGTACATAACCGTTTTGCCTTGCCTGTATATATTCCTATTTGTTACGTGTGCGCGCATGAGCCGCAGAAGCGCAATATGTGTACTCGTCGCGCAGAATTCGTCGGATTCTTCGCTTAGAAGCCATCGACTCAACTACGTTGAGAAGTCGCCGTTAACCAATGGCCGATTAGCCTTCGTCGTTCGCATATAGATCTCGATCGATCCCCAACGGGTCAAGATGTCGCCGTGCAGTTCGCAACATCGTTATTAACAAGCAGAACGTCAAAGCACCGCACATCAATTAGAAGATTTCGTTGTAACAAAATCGACACAATTCGACAACTTCGTAGAATAGAGCAATCTTCGCCATTGCAACATCGCCTTCGTTGTTAATGGACTTCGAAACAACACGTAAGTTCCTTTGTTTACATTATCCCTTCGTAACTTTACCATATTCTAGTAGCCGTCGTGCCTACGTCAACCATATTCAATAGAAATTCATTTACTTTGTATTTTTGATAATAAACACGTTTATTTATGTGTCTATATTCTTTCATTCCCAGCATAAACAAGGCCTTGGAAGTAATTCATAATTACAGTCCACTTACAATCAAATTCTTTGTTATCGAAGCCCCCTTGTACGGTACACATCAGGTTTTAATGTTTTGTTAATAAACAAACGTTTCTGTTACTATTTACTGCTAATTACTCCACTCATAAAATGTAACATAATCGAATATGAATATTTAACAAAGAAATCAACTTATGGGCTGTAACAACTTTGGCGACTTACCTTACTTATTGATAAAACAAAACCGTAGACACCTCACATAATGTATCTCATAGTATTTTACACAAGGGAGAGATTAGAAATAAGCTTGAAGATTGGTAACACTTAATTTGCAGGTTTTAATGCATAAGGTCTATATAGCAATACTAACACATTTTGTTAAGTAGGAATCGATTGATCAAAAGATCGATTCGTAACCAGTTCTGCATGCAAAATGTGAGAATTATTTACTTGGTTATCATTTTAAGATAACTTCACTTTTGATATTGTCACCAACTTTTAGATATCAATGTCAATTGTTAAATTGCCAAGTAACCAGCACTCTGCAATAATTTATGGTGCTGTATATGATAATGTGGGAAGGAACTAAATGATGATAATTATACAGTCACTAGGTGCGTAATCTAAGTACACTCACTGATTAAATTGATACTCCTAGGATGTGTCACCTGTAGCAAGATGAATAGCTTCCTAGGAGTTTCTTTCCTTTTTCATTTCTGAATATGTAAGGATATTTTGTGTATGTTGGTTGTCTTGCAACAGTTGAGATGCCTGGTGACCATTACTCTTGCCAATAACTGTACATGTCACGCATATACAAGTTACGCATAACTTGCACTTGTTATAACATTTAGCTATTCTTAGCATTGGTACAATGAGAAAAAAAAATTACTGAAATAATGTAAAACCTATTGGCATTAGAACAAGCAGAGGAAATTATAATGAAACATCAATAAAGCAAACTACTAAACCTGCCAAAAAGAAAAAGCTCAAAGAAATGATTCCTCTATTCAACTCGATTCAACTGAAAAAAATTTGGCTAAAGGTGTGTTGTGCTTATGGGGTTATCAACCTAAACATTAACAGGAAAGTGGTGCTTTGATTAACACAATCAAACAATTGACATGGAAACAATGAAAAAAAATCCGAAGTTTAAAAGAAAAATGGAAACTCTAATGGCCTGTACTAAACAGTTTGGAATTTTCCAGAAGAAATCCAAGACTAACAAAATTTTGTTCAATTTGTGCCTGCCCGTACTTAATTAGCTTACCTCGATCTCTGCTTTAAGTTGAGAAACTTCCAAGTCCGAGTACGAATTATGTAATCCTAAAGAGTCCGCGCCCGCCTCCTGCAGCTTCTTCTCCAAATTTTGCTTTTCGGAAACGACGTTTTCGCGCGCCTCGACGGCCCGTTCGAGTTCGCGCTGCAAATTTTCAAGTGCACTCTCCGCGTGTTGCAAGCCTTCCATATCTTTGTTCATACGCGTCAAGTGACTCTTAAACTTTTTGTTCTGCTGCACCGCATACCACATCCCAATACTGCCGCCGATTATTAAAACAATTAGTGTTAGATCTTTCCAATGCGGCTGGTGATCTGCGAAGAAACGTTTAATTATTGATACAAAAAACGTAAAAATCTGACGTCTAACCACATTCTGAGGAGTCCATGGGAGGTACCACATTATAATGGTCTACACTTCAATTACAAATTGACTAATTAATCGTTTTTTTTAACAAGGTGAATGCAAATGTGGATGCTCGTACAATAACGAAACGTAATAAGAAAAACAATTATAGAAAAGTTATAATGGGCGATTTTAAGAAAAATGTTTAAAATCTATAAAAACAATTATTTACGCATTACATCATATGAGCAATTACTATATAATGAGCAAACTGTCGTCGTAGAGTGATCTTTACCTTTAGGTGGTCCAAATAGCACCACATCCATCGCTTTCAGGGCTATTTTTTGTTTATGAATCGGATCTTTTATTCCAAGGTTATTCAATAACTGCATGTTATTAACGGCTAACCTGTGAAACAATATAACAATTGTACATGAGCCACTACACACGATAATAAATACCTTGGAAGCATGGCTCCATTAATGTTGTATTGAAGAAAGTTATTGACATATTGAGGCAGCTCAACGTTAATGGCAAGCCACTCTGAAGTCTGCTGTGATGTCCAATTGTGGACCTCAGATCGTAACCATGCCTCCCACAGTTCCTTAACAGAGATATGCATATCATCGTTTCGATGAAATGCTTTCTGTCTTCTCTCATATCCTGAATTATATTGAAGTTCTTCGCGTAGGAACTGAAAGTTTACACAACACATAAAGGTACAAATAAGTATGTACTAAAAAATGGTTAGTTCAAAGTCATTGTTTCAGATGAAAGAACAAACGATAGATAAATTATATGATTACATAACGCGAATTTCATAGAAAAATGTAATTATTTATTAATAATCCACTTTTTTTATTTCCTAAATACAAATCGCAAATTAGTTTCCATTATCTTTAATTTTAGGAAAAGGGGAAAACTTCACAAATAAATCATTGTCACATGAGTAAAAAAAATAGTATTTTGGTAGATTTAGTTCTCGAAATTATATGACGCACTGTACAGTTTTCAATTCGACATTCTCACTTCACTGACTACAGCATGCTTTCAACAAAAGCAATGTTATAGCAATTTTGTAACATTGTAATCCCACTATTTTTGCGTAAACACATTCATAATTAAAATTTAACGAAATTCTGCGCAAAAAAATTTCTGGTACACGAAATTTTTACATACAAAAATTTTACATTTGACACAAATAATACTGTGGTGAATGTGATGAATGTCATGTGTTATTTGTGTGGGACCAAACTGATATTACCACATCTTTTATCTCATTATCTCATCCAATTTTAGAAAACCTATAAAAATGCATAGGCGTTAAAAAATTATCCAAAATTTTGGACATTTAGATGAGCCACTATAAAGTGAAATGCGATAGGTAATAGACGACTTAATTGGGTCATTACTCTGTAAAGTACCTGAGGTCCCTTTAAATTTAAAGGATGGATGAAACAGCTAAACAATCCAAGTAAGTACGAATTTCTCACAATCCATCCGTGGAAAAATTGCATTTTTTTTTAAATAACTAAACAACACAAAATAGCATTAATTTCCAGCTAGCAAAACCGTGTCCCGCTTGTACATAAATAAAGGTCATCAATGATGGTTGGACACCTATCCTGATCAAATGAACCACTGAAATAATAGTTGAATAAATTATCCAAAATAATTGACCTCTTACAAAAAAATAGAAAAATGCCAACCAGCCAGTAAGCCATGCTTGGTCTAGTGAAGTAAATGTTGGCTATGACGAAGACTGAATAGGCATATACTAATCCTGATTGGTAGAGCATCCTCACCAAACCCCGCCCACGCAAAAGCAATACTAAACAAGTAATACAGCCATTACACTAAGTGTCACACGTACTTAAAGAACCTTCGAAGCATATTTAGCGTGTATTTGACATATTTTGCGAAATTTAACAAGTAATATAATCATAAACGATTTACTCGCATTTCAATCAGCGATTATAGAGCGTCCGCGTGTAAACTATATATATTCGAAGGTAAATTTTTTCCCACTACATCTAAACATGCTATGATATGACAATGTTTCATATTCATTAGTGCAATTTAGTTACCTTATTTGTTTTCCTCCGAAGTATTGGCTCATATTATTTTGGTTATGTTTTGAACTGATTAGGTCAATAGAAATTTAGTTATTTGTGCATCGTAAAGTATTTTTCTGGAATTAACGTCACGTTTATGCTTCTACACAGATTGTTGTAAAGGCAATCGTAGTCGATTAAAATCTTGCATTTGCTAGTGTGAAGTCATTCGAATTACTGATTTTTTTACGCAATATTTTATGTGCAGCGCGATTCACTACTCCTTTTATTTGTTTGATGTGTTATTGTCTGTTACAGATTTGCAGAACGCGCCCTTCTGAATTCAGACGGCCGCTATGACCAGAATTCAAAGGTAAATTTGGTTATTTTTCCTAACGTTTAATTACATACTGGGTTTCGATACAACCGAATTGTAATTATTATATTTGCTTGATATTCACTTAACGATTATAGGTCCGTTGTTTTCAGCAGAAGCCTGTATTGACAGTAATATTTTTGCACTCCTTCCGTTCTAAATCGCGTTTTACCAATAAAACACGAACGACGGGAACCATCCAACGATGTGTCACAAGTATGGGGTTGCCATTTAGCATTTTTGAAGAGGGGGGCTGGGGGGTTAAGAGGGGTGGGGGGTTGTCACTCATAACGTCATTCTGGTTCACCCTCGATACCCCCGAAACGGTTTTGCGCGATTTTCAATATCTTCTTTAGTTTGGAAAATATGGCCGACTGCAAGTTTTAAAATTGACACCCTGTATATTGATCTCTGGCGATTGGATTAATATTTTGGGGATTCCGAAGTGATTAGTGGGCAGGGTTCACCTATAACTACTATAGTGAGGATATAATTTTATCGTTCGGCTGGAATTTGTATACGGCAAATTCCATCAACAATTGCTGCTTCATATACAAGTAGCCCTTTTATTGAAGAGGTATGTAATTTCAGGTTATCAACGAAGGGGGGGGGGGGTTACCTTTGAGTTCTTTTAGGGTTTTAATTTTAAGTACCGGTGTAAATTCCGTTTGCGTTACATTACATTCGATTTTTGTTCGGCGTACGAGTTTAGTAACCTTAGATTAGGCTCACCATCATATCTTTCCACCTGCTGATAAGGAGCGGCCATTTTGATGTGAAATGGGTCAGGTCATGAAGGAGATTCAATATCGAGGATCGATCGTCCATAAGGAACAACATGCGTAACGCTTTAGCATCTTAGTGGATAACTATTTTGCCCCTTCAGAGTGGTATGCTCGAGGGTATGCTATTACATTTAAGCAATTTGTTACTACCTATTCCGTATCTTTGCCATCTCGGTTAAGTTATGATCGAGTTTGACACGTGAATGTTGTTGAAGACTTGTGTATACCGTACCTGGTATAGAAGCAGATTACGAGTAGAAACCCTTCAGACATCAACTATATAAGAATATACCGAGGCTTGCGGCTTGGAAGGTTTTCTTTTGATTGAGGGGTTTGGTTAATTTTGGAATTTTTCAATTGCACATTTAATATACTAAGAGTTTGGAGTAATGTATAATAATTTTGAATATTTGGAGAATATTTTGTATTCATGTGATATGCTACCAATTGTGGAGACAATTTTACTTTGTGTTGATATTTGAGAATATACCAGTATTTCATACGAGGAGAGTTAAGATAGAACTTGAGTGGCGCTCAACCCCATTGGTAAGTGCAACGAAGTTAAGAAAATCATATGCCCACAACGAATTACTGCTGTGGAAGATCTGAAGTTCTTATTATGTTTTCCAAAGCTCAGCTAGTTGGCCTTTTATGCAGCGGGTTTGAGTCCAAGCAGCGCCAAGTCTGCCAACCGTTATTATGCCTGGTGCACGGTAAGTAGGAACATAGGGATATTTTATTAAGCTTTTGGTATACCCGCAAATTTTTAAACAAATTTCGACATTTCTGTTATTAGTAGCAATAGCCATGACTTTTGTTGTTTTATGAATTGCAAAGTCCTCAATAAACTAGTTTTTATTTTCAATACTTCTCATGTGTTTATTTATTTACATTATTTATTTGCAGGTTGTAAATATCTCATTTTGTTATTGAAAGTAGCGAAAATTAAATCCTGTCATTAGTAGCATTTATAGGCTATCACGTGGCACACGTCTGACAATACTTGCAGAAAGTTTGAGGACACTGCTATAGAAACATTAAACACATTCTGCTTTTGAGTCATTCACCAATCACTACTGAAAACGATTGACCGAACCACTGGCACTAAATGAAAAATTATATCATTGACTGCTATTACCCCCAAAACCCAGATCTTAAAAGAGAGGTTGAGATTAGCCTTGACCGAGGCCTTGACAGACATTAAACAAATTAAAACCTCCAGCCAGTGGCGATCTAATTAAAGGCGCTAGCACTTTCAAGTCTTACATTTCATCCCATTAAATGAGTTGAATGAACGTAATTTGAAAGATCCATTCATTCTGACCCAAGTTTTTTATTTTTGATTTCGATGTTTATCAAGAAATGCTACAAAATGTAAGAGTGCAGTACAATCTCAACAGTATATTGGACTAGTGTTTTCACATGAATTATTCCAGTTAAACCCAATAAAACAAATTATTTTAATTTTCAAATCTGACACATAGCAAGTCTACATTGAGTAAGTAGCTACATCCGAAAGACAAAACGAACGCAGCAGAATCAGTAAGCTGTTTTTAATAGCCCAATAAAAATAACCTGTTTCAATTCAAATTGTCTTCTGTGTTTATTTAATTTTATGAATGAACCGATATCGTAAAGATAACATTTTGTAAATAGTAATAACATTGTTAATTAATTAATTGTCTGGTTTTATCGCGGGTTTTATCGAAATTTCCTTTCTTCATTACCGATATGTTGTTCTGGCATTACAATCCTTGATGATCTTTTTATTAGCGAAATAATAATATAGTCGCTATTAAAGATGGAACTCTCACGCTCAAACCGTTTGAGATATAACCATGACAATTATAACGTTTCCTTTTCAAATGATGTAAAAAAATTTTGGTTTTTGAGTGCCACCGCCATCTTGAATTTTATTAAATAGCAACATAGGTCATGTAAGTCGTCATTAGAACGCTTTTTTTTCTTTTTCTTACTACATTCATGGTCTATATTTCACAAAATTTAGATTTATTTCTCACTTAATACAATAGTTAGAAAGAGAAAATAAAATAAGCCTTCTAATGACGCATCACATGACCTAAGTATATGCCATTTAAAAAAATTCAAGATGGCGGCCGCACTCAAAAACCATGTGTCAAAAAAATTCTTTTAAGTTCAAAATATGTAAAATACTATACATATGGTTCAATTGGTTGATCAGCATAGCATAGCATAGAATTACTCATTAAGTTCATCATATGGTTAACACTCAGGTTAACATCAAACCATATATTTATAGCAGAGCACATGAGTACATTCTTCTTAGGTATTTAAATTATTAAATGATAGTCAATTACTACAAACGGACAACTACCACTAAAGCTTTGCCATCCAAGTTGCCATAGCAGCATCAGTGAGTGTTACTTACGCGTCAGTGCTCCTAACCTAATATCTTGAGAAAAGGGTGCAAATCTCGATTATACCCTCCAAGGTAGTCGATTAGCAGAATACCTTTGCATCCCAGAAAACAAATGCTATCACCTCCCCGGGCCACGCCACCGTCTTCCGCCCTCGTATCAGATCTAACGCAAAGTGGGGTGTATATGTTTACTGGACTAAACTGCAACAAACATCCAACTCTGAGCGAATAGGTCAACTAGTGCTCTCAGACAATGTTGCCAGATCTATCTATGAAGTCCATACTCATAGAGCGCAAAACCTAAACGTGACCATATGCACGCAAGTGTCTATAACTCATTTTACCATTTAAATTCAGAATTTTTATAATCTTCTCCTTCTACTTTTACAGTTGTAAAATATTTAATTAGTCAAGATTATAATCGATCAAAGAAATTTATAAAAACGTTTCGCTCATTAAAAAGTAAAACATTGGTATAAATCTGCCACCGACTAACATCAACTTGGGAATAATCACATAAACACAATAGTTAATTAGACAGACCCGTAAAAAGTTTGAACTTGACTGTTACGAGAATTAGGAAACATATTAAAAACAAAAAAGTTGTGTAGTAATAACGATCAAGGATTTTTAAGCTTTTGCGAATGCATAAACTATGGAAGTTTGGCATTGCCGTTACAGTGCAATACTGACACTTTTTGTGCTTGCTGATGTGATTTAGGTGCACATCTGTAATACTGCTATGGAGAAGTGGCTGCTCTATCTGAATTCTCAGGATCGAGAAAAAATAGAGCTAGGAGAACAGGGTACCAGTGGAGCATCACCTTACGTTTGTGCATTTGTGTAAAAACTGTGTGTATGACAATTAGATTGTGACAGATTTTATTTTTATTTTTATAAATTAATGTACTGAAGCATTACTGATATATACAGTGTACACTGGTAACTTTGTTACTATTTGAACTACAACATTTAGTAAATATGCGTCATTTTTTGTCAGAAATGCAATGATAAAATCACAAAACAATTGAACAATAAGTTATAAAGGTATTTATCAAAACCTTTCTATTGAAATGCTTCTGTACATTTCTACATGTTTTGACAGAATTCATTTAACATTTTTTTAAGAATTTCGGATTTCTTGTTTGTTTCAAGCGACATCTTTGTAATCGTGGCTACACTAAAATGACACTATTTAGTTCCTATAATTGACACATCTCCAATTTCTATCCAAAAAGCGTATAAATCTCATTTAATACTAGTCGCTGCGATCCCAAAGTGTGCATTTCACTTCACCTTATCACTGTGAAGATATTAAAATAAATATTGTTGCTTTTTGGACAAACAAAAAGCATATGTCGTTTAACATTGAATTTCGATTTATCGATTATTTTGTTATCGATTTGCGTATAAATCCGTTAATACTTAAACCAAACCTTCCTTTTTTGTATACAATATTCAAAAACTTTCTACTCTTTTGTAAAAAACCTATTTGTATGCTTAAAATTTAGTTATATTCTACTCTTTCGCCACCTATCGGCATAAACAGCCCAAACATGTCACATTTAAAATGTCTACCCCTTTCAACCATGTATAAAGGTAGTAGTCTAAGGGTGGGGCAGTTGAAAACAATGTTTTTACAAAAAAACGAGCGACTTCATAATTTTTTTTTCATTCTGCACACATGTATTTCATCAGCACATGTATAATGGTTTGGCCAGTGAAATACCCCTCGACCAGAACCTACCATAATAGAAAATACCTTTCCCAATGTAGACTGGATCAAAGGCCAACTAAATTGTTGTGATCGTAAATCAAGCATTTGTCTATCAATTTTTCTCAAAAAACCAATATACTCAAAAGAGATGTTTGAGTATGTTTTGGACCCTGCTGTGTTCAAATGACAAATCAAGTTAAATAAGCATCAAATATGAGGTCCACCCCTGGGTCTAGTATTCTATAAAAACAGATATTCAACTTTGGTCAATTTTTGAGAGTAGCTTCCAAATGAAATGTTTTATCCTAGGTCTTGCCTACCACCCAATTTTTGTTGATAATAATGCCACCTTACACAACAAATTTCCAAATTCATGCCCACCTTGTGTAGCCTTACAAATAAACAAAAACATTGAATCAGATGAATCATATTACCATTTAGCTCCCTTTGGTGGTAGATATCAAGGTTTATAGTTTAGTGGTGTTTTTCCCAGACCATGAAATTAATACGTACGCAGCATTGTATTTAATACATTAATTAATTAAGTTAATTGTTACTATTGCTTTATATGAGTTTAAATGACATTTATGTCAACGCCCGCATGTGGATACAGAGTCTTCCAAAGGGACAAGATTTTACTACTAGGCTTTGGTTATGTAAATGAGTAGCTGTCCAATGTGCACCTAGTGGTCTAAGAGCTCCGTTTTGTTGAAACATTTAACATTCAAAATTTGAATGGCCCCCTATGATCGAGCAATTAAGAACAGATGAAAAATAAGAACTGAGCAATACAAAAAATATGTCCAGAAATGAGACTAAGAGAGTTCACTAGAGAATAAAGAAAGAAATACATCATGAGAACTGAAACTTTGCATTTTGGTCTTTATTACAGAAGAAGGTTACGGTATCACCTACATAATCAGAATCTTGTTTTTCCGACAAACAGTTCTAGAAAATTACCTCTACACCTTTTTTCATACAGAATCTCATTAAGCATCACAGTAATTCAAATTTATTCCCGCAAGGTACTGAAGTTCAAGGTATTTTATAGTGTCGACGAATACATGTACTAAAATGAATTGAGATTACGAAATGCGCTTCGAAGAGCAAACAAATATAATTACACACTAAATAGATGATGTCACTTCCGAAATTAAAGCAAATTGCTGAAATTCCTAGCACAATATTTAATTAATAAGAACCTAAGACGCCTTTGTTTCACACTTCATATTATATGAAGTGATCCAATTTTAATTTCCGTGACTTTATACAAAATTTACCTGGCTAAGGTACTTACGTCATCCGTTTCAGTGAGATCTACATTTCCATTGCGATCATCATCTAATTGGTGATGCAAAGCTTGGATTGCCTCGAGGCCCAATTTGTCTTGCGTATCCATGCCGAAACACGAAAGATCATCGCTACTGCAGGTCTCCTGCGGTAAATCTACAAAAAACGACTTAGAACGTGTGACAGTTTCGAAATCGTACTTACTTTCATTTAAAACGGCCTTAGAAATTGTTTGGCTAAGTACAGAATAAGTACTCTTTAAGTTTTCTTTCACATTTGGATTACTATTCCCATCAGATCCAACTTTTTGAGCAGATTCAACGTCGAAACTATCACCATTGCACCAGTAAAATATAAACACTAACCACAACGTTAATTTTCTAATATACATACTAATTATAGTTGGTTGTCTTAAAAAATAGATAAATAAATAAAAGAATTAATTAGAGTACGTTTAAGATCATCATTTCTTATTTATTTTTGCTTTTGACATTTCACAGCCTTCATGATTTCAAGGTTGAAGTCGTGTTTAGATAAAAATGGCAGCGCCGACGGAAATAGTTGGCAAACGTGCCACATTTCAAATTTCTTCAGGAAATCACCCCACGCACTGTCTGATCATCTGATGCTATATCTAAATACAATATAATATTCTTCCTTTATAATGAATTTGTAATCAAATTAAGATTTCATTAGCGTTACGGGAATGGAACTTGGCGATATACAGGTCCGGATTCTGGATTTCGAGTGGTGTGTGACCTTACGTCCTTACACGCGCATATGGGCCCACCTTTTGGGCCCTTGTGCTGTCTCCATGATTAGAGTCATCCGCCCCCAGTGTCACTCAAGTCACCGCACGCTTGAGGCAAACTTGAAGACACAATGCTAATCTCTTCGCAAAAATTCTCGATAGATTTTTCCTTGATAACCCTGTACAAAATCGTACCAAACGACGAGATGGTCCTCTGACGGCCTCTCGCTCGCTTGGCGGCAGTCTAAAATCAAGTCCAATTTAGTCTTGTGTTTTGCATTGGTATCTGGGTTATTATTGTAGATCATTTAACATCAGTAGATGGATTCTGCAAGTGTCGAGAGAGCCCACAAAACGGTTGTTTTCAGGCCATTTATCCTGGCTAGTTTGTGGTTTTTTCATTGCCTTTCGGTCCAGCGTGCCCTCACGCACAGACGGACAGGCCTTTGAAATCGATATACGTTTACTATAGCCGAGCGTGCATTAAATCATCTTTTAGTTAAAAAGTTATTGATCAGAAAAAATAATCATATAAATCACTTCTTTTGGGGCGGGTCGAGTCATTAGCGTATCCAGAATGTCGTCGAGGGGGGAGATATTCGCGCCGAGCAGGTTATTTGAATCATTCTTGAAAATTAAATTTTAGTGCTTCTGGGAATTTGCTTGATTTGTAAGTATACTCACTAATCTGGAAGGAGGAATATGCATAGGAACTTAGTTTAGAACGAAAGGATATCTCCAGTTTGTGAAGATTATTTTAGTATTGTCAAAGAATTTATTTTGAATAGAATATATAAATATAATATCAAACTCAAACAAAACATATTTTCGTATCATATTAGATATGAAGTAATATAATAAAGTACTTAATAAATATATAAAGAAGTAAATATGAAGTTAGACAGACAGAGTGGAAGTTTCCTTTTTTTGAGAGCAAGTTCATCCAACTCTTTCTCAATAATTACAGCAATATGCCTGTGAATATTCAACAAAGCTAGATCATTGAGGCGATTTTCGCTGATGGTATTTCTCAAATAAGTTTTGAGCCGTCTCAGGGTAGAAAATTATCTCTCACTGGTGGCAGTTGTCACAGGTAAGGTAACTAATATTCTTAGTAAGATATTCACTGTTGGGAATATTTCTGGATTGCAAATTTTCATTGCGTCCAGAGAATTTTTTGGAGAACTGTGCGAGGAAGAAATATATTACCCCCGCAAAGTTTCATTTCACAAACTGCTGCTTCCCCATCGATATCCAAGATATCCCCGACTTGTCGCGTAGCATCATTGCTGTTTTTGTGGGTGCCCCGCAATATGCAAGTGCCGAGACGAGAGCGCATCACCCAAAGGGGGGGGGGGGGGTTTGAACCACCAAACATAAATATAGCTATTTTGACATTTTTTGAGTAAAGATATTTTGCCACCAAGAATACGCATGTAGGTATTGGTCAACGAGCAATTAAGTTTGATTTTTTTCCCAAGAAAAATGATGCATAAATTTCGATTTTGACATCTTTTCACTAATTAATATTCTATATGTCTGATGTGAATGCTCCCATACGGGCCACACTGTTTCCAGTCCATTACATCTCTCAATTTTAGACGTCAGGAGCTAATCCGGCTCAATCAAGGAACCTGGCCTCGGAATGCAGTGTCGTTGAAAAATATGAAAGCACAATAATTGAAAATAAACAGTTTGGCTTTCCTACTGCCTTTTGCAGTGGAGACATTCGGACCATGTTGTGGGGAAAAGTGTTGAGCAGTTTTGACTTGAAAAGTTAAACTATTTATTTTATTTTTCTGTAAAAGCATTGACTGACTAATACCCCCCCATATTAGTCAATGCTAAAAGTAAGCATCAGAGTGAAAATGTTAATTACAAAAAAGACGTGTCTTGGTGCGAGATCTACAAAAAAGGCTTCTACACTTTTTACGCCCGGTTAAAAATAAAGACGCTAGAGCGCATTTTCTAAATGTTATACTATATCAATAGTTCCTCTATCCTATGACCAAAGATAATTGCAATGACTATTAAAAGTAGTCGGAAAGTCAAGTCAGGAGTTTACCTGACAACTAGTTCCAATACATCACCTAACATTTGTCATTTTTAGCGCATTCCCGCAAAAACAAAATAAAATGCGCTATTTGACCACTTTGTATCCGTTTTAAGAGCTATTGGCTATATTGCTGTTTGTCTTTATTAGAAGCATCTTTGGTTAAAAATTAAAAAAAAGAATAAGAAATTTCACATTGCGCAGGTGCAAATTATTAGTCAAGATTTTTGCACTAAAAAAATTCTATATACGGTAAGGTTCTTTATCTGCAAAAAGGCAATTAAGAATAAGAAAATGTAAATGGCTCTACGCGAAAAAAATCCACAATCATGCTCAGAAAACTGCTGCTGCACAAGAAATTGCAGAAAGCACAAAGCGTTCACTACCCATAATCAATGAAGGCGGTTTTAAGAACACCGAAACATCGACCTTACAGTCCCTGTTTATATAGCTATTATCTCTTTCCAACTCAAAAAAAATTTAAGTGAGTGTGTCGATTTTTATATCAAATGATTTGATGAATTTTGCAGAATTTCCACAAAATGGTTATTTGTAGTGTAAGTGTGCAGATCGGGACGAAGGTGCACTTTTATGAGTGCATCTTGCATCTTAATACTTTATATCGACACTATGACCGAAACAGAACGAAGGGGGTGACACCTGGAATTCTTTTTGCCGCCAAGAATCGCACAGCGTAGCGCAAAAAATTAGGGTCTTAAAAGTGGCGCAGGTTATTATTAAGTAGGTAGGTACTGTAGAGCTTCAATGCCAGAAGCGAACGGTCACCTCTAATAGTCAAATGAGGCAAAGTATGAAGAAAGGCCTCAATCACATAACCTCTGAGAGTCATTCACACGTTACTGTGGTCCTTTAGATAGAGTCAGAACTTTTTATACCACCAAGACACAGACCCACAAGCTAAACAAAGTAGGTTTAAGATGAGAAGGAAATAAAACCTTATTGAACACTTTTAGCTTTTTAATTTACCGATTATGAAAAAACAAAAATAATGCAGAGAAGGGGGGGGGGCGATGTGTTTAGGCTTGGGGCGGACCACGTACTAGGTACATTTTTAAGCATGCAAATAGTACAACTCATACGTCCTACTCGCTACTCCAAAATAGCCTATTATAAAATAGAGTTGGTAAGACCCTAATAAATAAGGGGGCTCAAGCAAATTTTATTATCTAATCAATGTCGCATTGCACACATTGTATAAATATTTGTATTATTTAGCACTTTGGAATGCTCATTCCGAAGGGTTTTACCGTTTGTATTTTTCGGAGTAACATCTAAAAATGAATCGCTTAGTTAAACGTTACGATGGCGTAGTCGCATTTACCAAATTATTTCGACTAATTTCCATATCTTTCTTTTTGCGGTTTAACGCAGAACTCGATAACTTTTTATAAACAGGGTTAGGTCCGTATCGACTTTCTCTCTTGCTATGCGCTAAAATTTTCTTCATTAAAATGTCATTTCGACGTTCGATTTCGCGCGTTTGTTCCATCGAAAAGGTTTTGTTTTGAATCTTCGGTCCGCATGATTTTTTTAATGCGTCTGTGTGTTGTAGATCAGAATTGATCGACAATGAATGAGTGGAACTTGAGTTTTCAAAGTCATTACTGTTTTGCTCATCATCTAAAATTACATTTTCGACTGCCGTGTCATTATTAGTCTCTGACATTTTTCTTCTTAAAAAACTTGTAAAAGAAGAATAGAAAAATTTGTTGTGTGAACCTTAAAATACTTTATTTATTTACATCACTATGGGAACGCTATACATTTTTTTGTATTGTGTCATCCTTTAGATATATTGATCTTGCTCAAAATTCTTACAATGGCAAGCACGAGCATACATCAGACATTTACTTACTCCCCCATTTTAAGCCATTAGATTCAATTTAATAAATACACTACACTATTCCATCATTTCTCCCCGGATAAATTGTGTACAAAGTAATCATTCGTCTTTTTAAAATAATCCTTACATTTCACTTTTAGCGGTGACCTTGAAAAGTAGAGGCGCGCAGTAACCATATCAAATCAAAGCAATATACTTGGGTTTACTAGCAATATATTAAATATTTCAATAAGCATCTGGTTTTTCTTTTCTCTAAAAAACATTTCCAAATTTCTCACACAGTATCATATAAAATACAGACTTTACACGTGTAATACACAAGAATGTAAATATGGTACAAAAATTACAATGATATGTTAAAAATATATATACGATAGGATAGTACAGATTATGCGAAATACTATAGGATAAGGCACTTGATAATTCAATAAATGTTAAAGCTGGTCAGAAATCGTAGTCTAAATTATTTCTGCTTATCGGACGACTAAGCGGACGAGAAGTAAGTGGTCGACTGAAAACAAAATGAAATCAAGAACTCTTCACAATTATATACAAAGGGAGAGACAGGTACTTACCTCTTAGGTCCGGGAATTTTAGAAACTGAAGGGCGAGGAATACTGGATATTGGTCTGGGTAAGCCACTAGCTTTTATCTGTGGTTTAGCGTTACTACTACTAAAGGCGGCCGGTTTTACCTGATCACGCAATGTGGGCGCCACCTACAATGTAAAGACATTGAAAGTAAAACTGAACACCTCAAGATTTCTACATACCTCGGCAGTTTTTGTATTAACGTCCAAATTATTAGGAATATTTGGCCTTTTCATTCCTCGTGAATCCGATTGATACATGTTGTTTGCATCTGTACATGGAAGATTTAGTAACACGGGCTTAAGTTGCGTGTATGAACCTTTAAGGTTAGCACTCATGGTCTTAAGATTCGTTGTTGATCCTTTATTGCTAGCGTACGAAGCACCTTTAGCAGATACTCCCAAAGGTTTGAGGTTTCCACAGGAACCCTTCAACGTTGTGCCTACAGTCTTGAGGTTTGAATAAGAACCTTTAGTGTCGGGAATTTTGTTCATGGATTTCAATCCATTTAAACTTTTTGGTTCGATTTTTAGAGGTTCAGTTTTAAGTTCAAATCTTCGATGTGGAGCGTCTACGCTTGAACTGGAGTCTGATGCAGAAATGTTTGATTTGACTGTTTTGTACTCATCATTGGATGATGAATGTTCGGAATCGGACGTGTTGAGTCTGTCCCTAGGAACGGGCGACATCATACTGTGCTCATGCTCCCAGAGCTTACTGATTATTTTGCTTGTGGGTTTTGGTGTTGACATTGCATGCAAACCTAAAACATTTGATTTGATTTGATCATGCGATAGATAATTTGTATTTTCGAAATAGAGAAAATTTTTTTTGAGTTTTGGCATTATATGTTACAAACCAGATAACCCATCATATAGCAAAAAATTTGCTGTGACTAGCATAGATACCATCCGCATACCTGCGCATGCGCGATTCTGCCTTTTTATGTCTAAGAATATGTGTACCAAATTTGGTTCCATTCGGGTTCAGCCATTTAGCTGGAAATGAGAGTACAAATGGACCAACATCATAGGGATGTGGAGTCTAACCCAGGTGGAGGTCTCTTTATTATAAGAGGGACCACTAACTGAACCCTAGAACTTGCATTGATGTCAAAAGACGAATCAAGTCTTATTTAATGGCTGATTTCTGTTTCACGGATCTTGTGGCTCCAAAACTTCAGCTGAAAGCTGGTACGGAGACTTGGTGGTCTGCTTGGTCTATCTGCCGTACAACTCCACCTACGAGGCAGTTGACCGAGTTGATAGAATACTGTTGAAATGATGGGCTCCCTCTTGTGGCTGTGATGCTACCGCACACCATGCTGCGTGGGGCGGCATGAACTTGAGAGACGCCCCCCTTTTTGAAGGACCTGATTTGAATGTTTTAAATCAGGAAGTGTGATAATTCATTGTTTGTATATGTCGTACATCGTTGTATTTCTAATAAAAAATGATCCTCAATACAGTGTGTACTTTTTTACGGAATATAGAAAAAAGTAAAGTCGATGATGATTCCTACGAAACGAAACGGTGTACCTATTGAAATCACAAAATGGTGTCTTGTAGAGTTCAAAAAGGGACAATGAGGAAATGATTTTATTATTTTGTATCGGTTCAAATAACATCAGAAAAAATAAAAACGAAAATAGCAAATTTTGGTTTTTCTGGCAAATCTTCGGAAGTAGTCACAATTTTCTTGTTTTCTATAAAGTATGTAACAGACATGTATATTATATAATTTATTGTTATATTGCTTCTTTTGTAATTTGTATGTATATGTGTTCCACATCAATTATTCACGTGATCATTTCTATGTCAATTACTTTGATCACATGCAATACATTATTATTATTATTATTAGGTCCATTTTTTTCTATATATTAAAGTAAAGGGCGTTTCCATAAGAATGTGTCCAATTTGGACCTTCAGAAATTAATCTTAATGATCAAGAATTATTATTACTTCACAATTTTAAACAATTAAATTAATAAAGACCAAATGCTAAGTGTGTATGAAGTGCATTTATCATTTTATTTTTTAAATGTTTATTAAATATTAGCAATAAAAACAATATTGTTGCAAGTTTATTGCAGAGCGTACCACAAACATTTAAAAGTTTATTGTAAAATTAAAATTGTAGAAAGAGTACACAAAAAATAAAAATGATTAAAAAATTGTGACAATTAAAGGTGAAAAAAATAAATAAACTGAAACACTAATATTTTTTTAATTTCTAGTAATCTGCGCCTAGTGCTTTCTTTTGTGTTTGTTATTTAATACCTTGCATAAATTTTAAGAAATTTTGTTTTCAATCTCTTCTTTCCTAAATCTAATACTCTTAGGTACTAATTTTTTTTGTGAAATTCGTGGTACAGACTGGTTTCGACAATCCGAGGGAATTGGGGATTTTTGTATAGTCAGATTAAATGGAAACCTTGAAGCGCGATCCATGCCCTGTAGCAAGACAATAAGGCACTGACTATTTTTAGAACTAGGCCTATAATCAGAGCCTAACTGTCATTGACCGTCAACACGTCACCTGCTGGCTGGAGGGAGTACCACAGGATATTGTAGACGCAAGGCGATTACATTAAAATAAAATAAGGTTTTAAGTTGCGTATTAGAAGGTCGCGCACGTACGAATGTTTGATTATTAATTAGTAACCAGGTGTCAAATTCTTGACAGAATAGCTTTCTAGCTGAAACCAAAAATTGCCAACATGTTTTTTTACGCATGCATTTTGTTTGCTTTTATTAGAGGGACCTACCATCCAAATTTCGTTAAAATTGCTCCATAAATAAGAAAGTTGGATGTTGCACATGCGCAACTCGATTTTTTGCGCATGAATTTTGTTTGCTTTTATTAAAGGGACTTACCATAGAAATTTCGTTTAAATTGCTTCAGAAACAAGATCGTTGCGTTTTGCACATATGCAACACAATTTTTTGACTTTGACAATTTTTTTCTCCGTTTTTTGATAATATAACCCGGCCCAATTTTTTGTAGGTTGTACACAGGAAAATAAGGTCTTCCAAATAATAGAATAAAAATTTTAGGTTGCTATTTGAAAAAAAAAGTTCGATGCCGTTACGGCGCTCCAAAATTTCTTTTCAAAAATCCGGCCCGTTATTTTTCTGTTCGGTATGCCTAAAACATATGTATGTATATACAAAATTTCAACAAAATCCGTCGAGCCGTTTTCTCAGAAAATTGCCAACAAACGTACGTACGTACGTACATACAGACGGGAAAAAATTTTATTCTTTAAAAGTTGCTTAAAATGGTCTAAAACGTCGACATTTGATGAAATTTTGAAATGTTCAAAAAACGGCTATCGCAATAGCTACCTAGCACATGCTAGGAAGCTAAAAATTCTGGATTTAACGCGAAAAAGGTTTAGCAATAATGACCTACCTGTAGGAGTGTAGAAACATCATTACGAATTAATTTTTTAAATTAGAGAAATTGGAGACATTCAAAATCCAACATTTATCTTGCAGATAACCAAAAAATTTAAATCAAGTGTGATATTTTATTATTGCAAATGGTAGACAACAGTTTAACGACCATCTAGGGCTTATGGCCGTTTGCACCAACAAATTTAAGTGGAGCTTAGCTTAAGTGTAGCTTAAAATCCATGGCAACAATTATTGAGACAATGGTTGCCATGGATTTTAAGCTACGCTTAAGCTAAGCTCCACTTAAATTTGTCGGTGCAAACGGCCATTTAGACCACTGTTTAGCAGCAAACCGTTATATATTTTACTTTTTTTTGTAATTACCTTTTCTTTTTTTGTACGTAACGTCATTTGTGGAAATGAATTAAATTTCATTTTTGTATCTACTTTTCTTGTTCGTAAAAGGACCACTTTCTAGTTTTCCAATTTTTTAAGTTTCAGAATTCTGAAAATGGAAATCAATGGTATAGACCTTAGAGATTTAGACTACGGAAGAGGGGACTGATACTATCCTATCAAAGGCAATGCTGCGTGTTGAAGCACATTTTCGTGTGGCGGCCATATTCTTGGAGGGAAAATAGTTTGTTTACAATTTTACATCATAGACAAGGAAAGAGAGGAGAATCTTTGATTATATACTACTGGATAGCGCATTCGTAATGATAGAAGAGTACAACCCGTGTTCCAATTTGTGCAATGCAGATAGCTATAATTTTTCAGTGAAAAGAAATGAGATAAGAGAAGTTTGGTACCAAATTGAATTGCGCATGTCATGCGTTAATAAACCAGAAACATACACCTTAAGTGAATGCGCTATCCAGCCGTATATAATCAAAGCTTTAGATCTTGTTTACTCAGCCAGCTGTTAACATTTTTCAGCAGTCATGTTATTGGTGGGCAATCAAATTATTGGTCCACTTTACGACCATCGTTTATCACTCCACCCTCTTTCCTTCTGTAAGGTATAAACAGATGCCAAATCATGTTCTCTACAAAAAAAACTAGATAACTAGGCTTTGTCTGGGAAGTGAATAATCGGACATTGAAAAATTAACATTGTACCATTAGTACGCAAAAAGTTAAAAAATTGGTGTTAGAAACAAGGGTTATATGTACTTCTTGTGTTTCTTTAGAACCAGTCGCCACTGAATATAACCTCGGCATTACTTAAGGTATGATATGTGTGTAGATATAATATCAATCACGTTTGGTATAATTACTCTCCATGACACCATACACTCTTAAATAGATTTTGTCTCCATATGAAATTTTTCTAGACAATATACAGGGTGGTGACTTGCGTAACGCATTATAGGGATTTCAATGTAAAATTCCTAACATGCGATTATTGGCTCCCTAAATTATTTTAGAGCAAAAATGTATTAAGGTTTTTTGTAGAAAAAATTTTTTTACGCCAATCAACCGTATTAGTTTTCAATTTTTTTGCATAATAAAGAGGGAAAATTGGAAAAATAAAACCCGCATCTTTTTCAATAATCTGTAAATCCCTTAGATGCGTTACGCAACTTGCGTAACGCAAGTCACCACCCTGTATACAAGTTATAATTTTCAGTTTTGGATCAGTGTGCCTTTAGGTAGGCTTACACTAAAATACTTACTCTGTTCTTGTTGAAGCACTATAGCATCCACCTCAGCCATGTTCAACATTTTATTTGAATCTCTACTACTACTCGATAAACTGCTTAAATAATCAAGACTGTCTGATGAACCAACTGAATGCCCAAAAGAATTCCGCTTCTTTTCAATTCCTTGGCTCGAGACAAGGTCACTATGCTTCTCAATGATGTAACTTCTTCGCCGAGGGCTCGTAAATCTGTTAGAATCATTTGTATACGTTACAGTGGAGTTTAGATTATCATTGCTTCGACATAGGGGTAACTTTTCGTACGTTTCGTTCGCCTTTGAATGGGGACTTTTTCGATATGTGCCATTTAAATTATGTATAACGCTAGCTATAAAGAGACCATTAAACACCGTTTAAATACAAGGCAGCTTACCATTATTACACACATCAATTGAGCTAATATCACTGGACGATTCCTTTACGTATGTATCACCTAGTGTAGAATTATCAGACTTATCGCCGGCAGCAAATGTTTCATTGAGCGAAAACTCTCTACTGCCCACAACACTCTTCTTGTAAATGCCGTTTAAAGTCCCTCCAGAATGTTGCTTTATAAAACTATCGGGATTATCTAAGTTAATACTACTACAGCTATCTGTAATCGATCTGAATACTGGAGGATCGTAATCTTGCAGCATCGCCTCCGTGTAATCCTCCACACTAATTTCTCTTAAAAGCGGATCGTTCTTTATCATGCTATTCTCCATGAGATTCGTAAACGTGGACGAGCACATCGAGTTTATCAAACTAGGAGGCGACATATTTTGGAAAGAATCAACATCGGACGATGTTAAAACTATTTTATCAAAAATATTCGTGTTTATAGGTTGAGATAAGTCGAATTTTAAAGGAGTTTGCTCTGACGAAACCTCGCCACAAACAGTAACATCTTGAGCATCGTCTAATTGCAAAGTTCTGTTCGATTCGCTTTTCTCAACGACACTGTCAGTCTCAAGTTTGGCCATTCCAAAGTAGCCATCGTTGTACGTCTCGATGCTAGGACGAACAAATCTTTTTTTAGGTCGGGTAAATGTGCGCGAGTCTATCATTTTCTTGGTGTCTAATTCTGCCAACTCACGGGTTAAATTCAGATGATTATTGTAGAAATTGTAGTCTTTTAAATGCGTCGTATCTTGATACAACCATGTTTTTAAGTCTTTTACATTGGAATCTCTTACAGGTGATGCATATAACCTAGAAATTCGCTCATTTAGAAAAAAGAAATAGATCTATTAGATCGTATACCAAGTTTCGTCATCTTCAAAATTGATATTGCTAACGTCTATTAATTCTGCGGCCATGCTACTGTTCAATTTATCTAGTGGAAGACGAGGTGACCTATTGCTGCATGCATCTAAATTTTCTTTAATAACTCTCATACTGTTTAAGATATCTTGGGCATCTTGTGACAGATTCATGATTAACAATAAACACTCTTGGACTAATAAACAGCTGATAATAAACGGCACAATTATTTGAATATTTTTGAACAAAACAAATTAAACAATTAATTTATAGTAGTCGCGTACTTTTAATAAATAATAAGAAAATGTAAAATAATATACAAAAAAATCTGTGACACCATCCCTAATACTTTGTAAATAAATGCCAATCTGGCCAATCATAATCCCAAAATGTCAAAAAGTATTATCTCTCTCGGTTACACGAATTTGAGTATTGACGTCTTTGTTGCTCGGCTTGTCCTTCACAAATTTACGTCTAGAAGTTTTTCAAATTCATTATTCCTTAAGCATGTTGTAAATAAAGGCTATAGTCGCATAACTTTTAACGGATTTGAGCGATTTGCTATGATTACTCATATTTATAAATTGACAGGACCGTAGCTAGCTTTTGGTGATCGGAAATAAAAACCGGAAGGTATCAGACGCAAACGGCAGACCCGTAGCCGTAGCCGAGGGTGTCCTCAAACAGTGACGATGCATGTTACCATTGAATTTTATTATTCAATGATGTTACTATTACTAGTACTTTTCCGCACCCATGTATGGGTAGGTATAAAGTTGGTAAAGTTTTGCATCGTAACTATACAGGGTGTAGCACCTAAGATCCCTCGGATCATAACTTATTTACCATAAAAAATACCGAAAAAAGTTAAGAGTAAAATTGTACACAATTATTTCCGGCATGTTTGTAAAATATTTTTTATCACCAGGAGCGCGCTGTATTCCGTATCAAACTTGCATTTTTTAAATTAGAACAACCCATATTTTATTACTGATTTGGAGAGTACCTGAAAAGTACTAATTTTTTTATGTAACATGTTATACCCCTAACTTTAACGGTTTCGCTGTCCTTTTTTCGTCAACATTTGACAGTTTTTCGGAATTTTTATTAAAAGATACTAAATTGCGCAGGCGGCTAATCTTTGGATTGGGGGACAGGTTAAGACCTCTTCCACAATCACACAATTATTTTAGGTACCTACTTTATCGAAAAAAACAAAATTTTTGATTGACCTTAATAATAATAATAATGGTATAATAATAATAATTAACAGTACAGTGTCGGCAGTGTATGATTGCTTTTTAATCAGCGTTGCGAAAATGTTCCAAACACAAGCAGAACTGGTTGATACGGTTTTATTCTTGGAAACTGTTACTGGAATTTTGTTTTTATTGAAAACTCAAGACATCTTATAGTTACTGGCGATTGAAGATGGTGAAAACATCAGCATGGAGTTTTGTAATGAAAGCATAAGCTATATCTAGAATTAGGCCTAGGTACAATACAAGAAAGGTAAGCTTAGAGGTGGCAGGTGGTACTATAATATCGTGAATCATAAGTATTATTTAAATAAAGTTTATATAAGTATTCAAGAATTTGAATCGATTGCCTATTAGTATTACTGATAGCACAAGGGCCCTTTTTTAACTCCCAGAAAGTCGTTTTTCGAATAGTCTCTGGATCCCCACAGTTCGAAGAATTCGCCTCTTATTTGGTCAATGATACGAATAATATGTACAAGTAACAATTCAAAATTAATTTATTAAAATTGAAGAAGTTTTGCAAGCGGAGGATTATGGCGTTATGGTGGCCCAAGGGCTCACCTATAGGTATAACCCCATTTATATGTCGTTTTTCGAAAAGAGCCCCACAAATTGAGATTTTAACACCATAAGTATAGGTTTCCTAATCATATTAAAATATTTTTTTCAAAATTCAAATGTCACACATAAGGTACTATGTTCGATGCGTTACTTCTATACAGGGTGTCCACTTTGGTTGTGACGTAATCGACATCAACACGCCAAATACGAGAGATTGCGACTGGTTTCCTCTCCTCGTATTATTAAACTGCTTACTAATTAGGTCATATCTGTTTGCTTAATACATTCAAATTCATAATCGCAGTAGCGAAAAATGGTCAATGTTACATTTTACATCCATTTTTAATCCGGTGACAAAATCCGCCAAGGTTTCATTACGCCATGAATACGTAAATGATTACTTATTCAATGATTATTCTTCCCCAATACTCAATGGTCCCTAAATTCATCAGGAGAATGGAGAGGTGTTATGGTAGCCGTAATAAGGTTGCAGTATACTTCAAAACTTGCATTACTCCTCAATACATACTGTATGCAATCCACTTATGATTGGGAATAGGGCTATCTACTCTGGGAGGTTCCAAAACTGCAAGTGCAGCACCAACATTTGAACTTTCGTCAGGACAGCATTGTACAGTTTTACGTTTATTGTTTTTTTTTTGTGTTGTTTAATGCGGGTTGCATTTCTTTATAATGTATTTATGTGTTTTTTATGCAACATTTTGCATTTTTTTGTGAGTTTCAACTTTTGTTTTTGGAATTGACTTGATTGACGTGTTTGATACCATTAACTTTTATATTGTTTGAAGTGAGAAGTCTCTTTCATTTCTGGTGTAAATGTCTCTTCAATTTTTGTTTATATTTTGATTACATGGTCTTAGCCCCAAGTTGAATTTATATATTTGGGCATTTGTTTTATAATATGTGGTTATCGAATTGTTTGCTGTATACCTGTATGTCTACGGTTTTGTTTGTAAACTAACACTTTTCTTTGTGAAGAGACAGTCACGGGGGTGGTAAGTAACTGTAACGACATTAGTTACGACATCTAATGCCGGGATTGATCTCCAAATCTCAACTATAGGTTCGAAAATCTCGTCCGAGGACACATGGTTACCTATCTCAGGGGCGAGACTTTGCTAACAAAAAACTCTTCGGTTTAAAATCTATGTGTGATATGAGTTGCAATTGACTAATTTCCACGTTCCCTTCGTTTTAAACGGTGAATTTTCTCTTCAAGGCCATTTAATTTTCTATGCTGCTTTTAACAAAAGGGTGTTATTGCACCAAAGATGAGTCACCTGTTGTACAGCTACCTTCTTTAGTTACCTGCTTGCACCCCAAACCGTTCTTTGTTTTGTAACTTGCTTTTAACATGTGCTCGTAATAAATGGTGAACTATGCACTTAGCTGTAAAAAAATTAACTACGTAGTTAATTTACCTGTTAACAAATAATTCTGCTTTCATACATATCTTATATTGTTGTGTAGAATCATCAATAGAAAAGATTCAGAATAATATATTAATTTAATAACGCTACAAAGAATACCAAAGCACTTATTTACACTTCCCACAAATGTTTTCATTGTACTTATAACAAATGGAATGATATAAATGCTTGCAGCTTAATGTTACATAATCGGTTAACAATGGAGTTTCTAAAAGTAAATCACAAAAGGAACATCTTAAATCAGTCTTACCGCGAAGGCTCGGTCTCTTTTCACAGCTCGGGGGTTTCTTCACATAACTTCGTCTCAGAAACTTCTTCATGACGTTATCAAACTAGAACACAACAAATTACTTTAAACAGATAGTCAAAGGTGAGTTTACCTCTAGCATTGTGGTATCATTGCTTTGCATTACTTTTGCGAAACCGACAGCCTTACCGGGGACCCCGCCGACCGCGCTTGTAAAAATACACATTTGATAAAAATTCGCGTTCAGTTCGTCCGATGGTATGACGTTAGAGTAACGCATTAAGAGATTGATGGTACTTTGAGCTCCGACTGACTTCAATAGAATGGTGCCAAAACTCATCCAACTCATTACATCAGTTGATCTGGTAATGTCCTGCTCGCAGTTCACGCATTTGAAATTTCGTAGTTTAATTAACAATTTTACGGCGTCATCCCAGTCGTCGTAAGTAAACTTGTTTGAGAAACTTTGAATGAGATCTTCATCGCCGAATTGAATTAGTAGAGGAAGTGCGTTATCATTTTCTTGATCTTTCAAAATGTACTTCCACATGTAGGGAACTTTCTTAGTCAGTTCGTCCAATTGATTACTGGAGCGCGACAATTTCTTGGCGAGTACGCATCCAAGCTCGAAGTACTGTGGAATATGCCTTTTGGCTGACGGTGTGGGATAGGAACATGTGCAGGTGCAACTTGATTGGTTTAATTCAGTAAACGCCTCCAAGGCGTACTGTACAGGTATGTCGTCATTATTCAGACTTTGTATGTCACTAGTACGGTGGTTTGATAAATACTTTAAATACTGTGAGAAGCACCATAATCTGACCTCTTTTTTAGCTGCCTCAATTGTTTTGTAACTTTTTAGAAAATTATGAAATAATTGCACAATCGAATGTACACTGTGCTTATCCAGTAGTTGACTAAATTTGGGAGATTCCAAGTTCTGGTTGATTTTCGACATCTGATATTGCTGTTGAAATACTTTCCCATCACTAGAAATCTGATCATCACAAGATGAAACCACAAATTCACCATTGCCATTATTAACTTGTGCCAGTTTCTTAACGGTCGTTTCAAATTTATGAAACTTTTCCTTGAGATTCTTAGCATCTCCACCCAATTTTTCTGGTACGGTCAAACTCAGGTCTTTGAAAATGTGCAACTCTTCCAAAGCTCGATCTTTTGTGATATTTTCATCATCAAAATATGGATTGACCGTTACAATTCCAGCCTTTAATTTCGGAATTGCGATTTTTTTGTTTGTGTAGCTATCGATTGCGGTAAATATCGGCAGTAGGCTGGCTAGTAGGTTTTGATCTGTAATTTTCTCTTTTAAAATAGTAACCAAGTGAATATTATTTGCTAATTCAATTAAATCGATAATATCGGCGGTGTAGTGAACACACAGCTCGGCACTTAAGTAATACTGTTTCCGAAACAATGTTTTGAGTATAATTTGTTCCAACATGTATAAGGCAACGACTCTCACTTCCAAGTTATCATCCCAAATGTATATAAAATAATCGGTCACTTTGAAATCTTTTATATTCTCATAATAATTGCACCAGCAGATAATGTTTTCTGTAACGGGATCAAAAACGTAAAACATCCCTTGATTAAATGTTACAACGAATTTATTGTCCAGTATTAAAACTTTCCGAAAATTTAGTTGCTCCATACCCAAATTAATATCATGACTACTATTAATAGTCAGGCGACTATCTACGTTGCCATCCCACCTAATGACCTCAGCCGGATTTTTGAAAAGATTCTTAAACTGATGCGTACGCGTTACGGAGCCGTTTAATTTGGCCTCCCATACACGCGCTCCAGGACGGGTGCAAAAGATCTGCACGTTGTCGTTAATCTGAGCGAAAACCTGTTCGTCATCGATGCTCTTTTTAAAAATCCCGCGGCTCTTCAGCGTTTCCGTCAGTACTCGCTGAACATCAACCTGATTCGAAAAGAAGCAAGCGCCGAAATGACCATTTCTCAATTTCTTCCCAATCTGCCTGTATTGCTCTTTGTCCGTGTCGCAGATGTGGGTACGCGTAAGGGTGGAAATGAGCAAAAATTTTGAGTAAACGTCGATCTGCACGATTCTACTATCCAATTGCATCAACGTTGCGTAATTGGCTTGAAACATTGCCTTTGCCTACGGTACAATAAAACCAAATAGATTGGTGAACTAATGAACAAAGGGACAATTTAGTGAACCTAATGAATTTTCGAATATTTGTGATGAAAAAATAAATCATCTTGTTTTGGGAATTAATTTCTTAATTTTAATTATAAGCGCCTACATCTACAAATAAAGCGTTTTTCTTTTTCAGACCTTCAAGTGATAAATTTTGTATGTATTTTTGTGGCATCTATATTTTTCCCCACCAACCTATGCAAGCAACTTACGTAGGCATAAGCCCCCCCCCCGCACTCGCCCATCGAGGTGTAGGTACACTGATGTAATGGTAGATGGACACAGTGGTTGTTAAGGAATCTGTATTGTAGTAGGGACCAAACTTGCAGGCGATTGCCGCATTTTCGATGCGTAGATCCGAAGTTTCTGGTTGGGGGCAGGAGGGGAGGAGAAATTTAGATCTCAGAAGACCCACACCTTTTCTACCATCCTCTTCCGATAGCGTAGATTTTTTATGTGACCAAGGCATGGACTATAATTATGGTTTAAAATGCCAAGAAAATATCTTTACAAATAAAAAGGTCGGTACGGAAGCACAAAAGGGCCATACACATTATTTTTTAATATATAGATTTAATAACTGTCAATTATTAATTTATTTGGATATTCGAAGGAGTTGCCGCCGTTACATCATTCCATATTAATTGCTTATTAAATTACAAGTTTGAGATTAATTGGTCTCATTTATAACTTAAATATGGAAGTACTATGCGATCAAAAATGAGTTGCTGTCGAGTCGCCTTTGAAATTTTTGTTTACATGGAAAATCGTATTTAACTTGAACTTCCAAAGGCGACTCGACAGCAACTCATTTTTGATCGCCCGTTATAGTAGTTAAAGGGTGCCACCTACTTATACAATTTATCCTACTTTGAGTAGATTGACAGGTTATCATTGCAGCAATTGATTCAAAACTAAAGTTGGTATCTATTAGCAATTAATTTTTTAAAAAGTGAAGTGAACACCATAGAGTAGAGAAAGTTTAATCTCACGCTTGTAAGGGATGGCACCCCAACCCTTCCCATCTAATTAACAGCTTAACAATGGTGCAAGTACTTTAGTAGGCAATTAACCCTACCGACCACGTGTTAAGACCATTTTTCTCATGACTTACACATTTACAAATTTCGGATTTGTAACGTTTACAGTTTTCAAGATCCTCATGTCCATTTGTATTAGAATTATTGAAACTTATTTTTTCGTCTCTGCGTGAAATATGACATACCTTATAGATTTTTCGAGGCTTATTGTTTGCTATGTAAGCAAATTGAATTGTGTTTAGTCTCAGTCTTAACGTCCATGGCGAAGTGATAAATAGCAAAATCAATCTATTGAAAGACCGTTTTAATTTAGTTTCTTGATAATAGTGTTAGTTTCTGTGAACACTAAGTGCTTGTTCACAATGGACATAAGCGTTACAAAAACATAACAGATACATAAAACATAATATTGACATAAGACATAATTTTACGCAGGTGGAGAAAGTGTTCACAGTGACCGTAAGAATATAATTATCTGCGTAGGCGCAAATCCAAAATTTAAACTCGGCAAAACGTCAAGAACATAGCAATATTATTTGTGGTGTATATGTGTGTGTCACTGAGATGGATGGAAATTTCAACAGTTTTATTGCTTTTACTGTTAAGAAGACAGAGAGACAAAGTTGTTACAAAACAAAAACGACGTTGGTGGGTCAGACCTATAAATCGAGACCGAGAGAAAAGGGGAGAATTTAAGAATTTAAGCGTGTCTAGAAATGAAGCTGCATGATGAAGAATGGTTTTTTTCATACACCAGGATTATTCGATCACCTATTAACCTTATATCTTTTGTCCCCTTTATTAAACAATTAGGGTTTTAATCGCACCAAACTAATTAATAATTCGACGTCTATACGTTTTCCATGTCGTGTTGGATATAATCAAAGAATAACACACGAAGGACCAAACCACACCAAACTATGAAATAATGCGCCAAAAACTATGTACCAATTTAAAAATAACCAGATTGTGTTGGCAGAAGAGATGTCATCGACGTTAGACGTAGTAACTGAAATGTCAAACCAACAGCGCAGTGCTGCATCTTTGTACCCAACAGAAATACACCTAATTCCACTAGATTTTTCATAAAACCTACGTAAAATTGAAACCGACCCAACTTTATGTATTTTTTATGTACCCTTTCGGTAGGACATAAAACATACGCAAACATTTACAAAAAAATAAAAATTATGTAATCATTGTGAACACATATGTTGGTTTGCTACTATTCAACATTATGAATTATGTATCTGTTATGTTTTTGTTATGCTTATGTCCATTGTGAACAAGCACTAATAATTAATTTATATACATAAATCACGTAACTAAATTTAGGTTACACTTCCACCACCTTGGTTAGTATTAAGTACTCTACGGAAGTCGGTTCAGACAAAACTACACAGACACTAATTTTTATTACAAAAAATGTACCATAAAGTAATCATCCACCAAACGTGCAAGAAACAAATGCATACAAACCTTTCAAATAATACGATACTATAACATCCTGTCAAACAATTAACATCTTTGGGCCTAAAAAAATGTAGAACACCCTGCTGATATCAAAAACTATCAAAATCACTCACAGATAAATTATTCAACACCCCTTGCACGATCATTAGTTCATCAAATATATCATGAGTTCATTAGGTTCATTGCATTATCAAAACGTAAAATTATTATGGGTGCACTCACCAGCAAACTGGGTAGTGTAATCACTGTGATTTTCCCCAAATTATCACCACAATACAACTCGTCACCGTTCCATTTAATAGCAGTCACAATATTTCCACGATGTTCATGATGGGTATGATACTGAATGCAATTTTCGTAAAAACAATTCGGTATGATCACCACTGCACCTTTAGAAGTAGCCAGGGATAAGTGTTTCTCATCGTGCGAGATACAAACTTGAACAATCGCACCTTCCTTTAAATATGTGGTTAACGACAAGTTATGCGAATCTGAAATTACCTTGCTAGGAATCAACTTCAGGAACTGATGGGGATGACGGTTGAATACGTACAGACCGCCGCTAGAGGCACCAAAAACAACGTACGATTTCGAAACATCGAAAGCAGTAAACTAAAAAAAATGCTCATTTCTTGTATTGAACAGTTCGGATGAACTACCTTGATACGATGTGTTGACTGCAAAGGTTGTTTAATTATTGTATTTATGTCACTTATGTGTTCGACTAGAACATATTTAGAGTTCATTTTAATAAGTAAATGAGAAAAACCAAAAAAACACAATACACTTTTTAAATGACAGTTTGAAATGACTGGTCACATTGATCTGATAATGGAAGTGCTTAATAGACCGCCAATACGGCTCAGTAGCCGATACAAGGTGCGTCAAATAAATATAACAACTAATTGCAAATTCTTCATTCTGTAATAGAAGAGCTTAGACCTCAAGCGTAAATTTAAAAGTCCAAATTCCTGTATTCATTAATCGTTCATAATTATAATTGTCAGTAACTGCAACGGAGAATCGGAACTGTGGCTTCAATAAATACTGAAGTATTACTAAGCAATGTAAAATGTAAATAATAAGTTGTGACACGAAATTCAAAGGCTGGTGATTAGTAGGTACAAGAAAAAATAAATTTATTACTACCTGTAATTACACTTTTTAAAATAGAAGAAATAAAATAAACATCGAGACATTCCCATACGCGCGCATGTTTTCCCATACTACTATGCCACAGATTTGTAGTGTAATTTGTTACTATGATTGTCAGATATAAGGGGAGTTGCCTAACCGTAGCTGTACGGTACCACAGTAAACATTAGTCCTTCGAGCCGGATTTGAAAAAAAACGTACGTACTCTGTTGCAAAAAATAGCTTTTTTTGACAATATGTAACTTTAGGAAAAGCGGGTTGTTAATGAAATGATAACGTATATAATTTGGCTGTACATACTTTACTATCGTTTGTTGCGTTTCAAGGGAACTTATCGTAAAAAGAACAATTGTTGTCATTTTAATAATTTAAAGGTTTAATTAGAATTATAATTAATTGTTGCGTAGCAAAACCTTGAAAAAACCCAGGGACCTTATGACGTAACCGGGGAAATCACATCACAAAATTCAAGATGACGAGAAATGTTATTGACCGGTACAAATTAATTTCCTCGTATGGCTATGTAAATCAGAGGGGGGGGGGGGGTTATGACCTTTTAGTTTAAAATAATGCCGACAATAAAGATATGCCTTCCTGGGTTGTCAAGGAAAGCGCGGAAGTAGCATAAATTTCGATTAAAGTCATAAACATTGCAAGCGAGACACTCTGTATTTAACATTATTTCAAGTTGGAGCAGGAAATCTGTTGGAATTTTGTTACAAACAGGTACACGATTGATGAACTTTATTTAATTTTATTGGTAGTTTACTTTTACTGTAATTTTGTTCAATAATGTAGTCGCTTTTATTTGTTTGTGTAGTTTAAGATGTAGAAGTTAACAAACACGTAAGTAAAAGAATTATTGCGTCTATTTAATAATTATATTTGGTATATGTTTGATAAGGGAACTTTATCAAAGTAAAATTTAATTGATTTAGATAAACAATGACACGTGTAAAGTTGTAGATAAGGAAGTGCGATATAATTAAGTGCTCGCATTCGTCGGCCCTTATCGAAGATGAAAAATTGTGTCAAAGTTTTGTTTGTCAGTTAAATTAAGAAAAAGTGATACTGGAATAGTTTCCGATTGCTGTTAGTATTTACGTAATTAGTTTCAAGTTATAGAAGAAAAGGTGATTTTTCAATTTCAAAGTTAAGTTCTGTCTTCGTTAAAATTAAAGTTTGTATCCGAGCTGCCAATTTAACAATGGCAAACTTCATGGAACCAGTGTTGACGATTTAAAAAAAAGGAAGAAAGTTTGTGTACACGGTTGTGCTTTTATTTTAAAATAATTCTGTGAGAAGTGAATGTTTTTGTCGTTTATCAGTTTATCACTTCTGTAACGGCGAGTTCAGACAAAAATTTCGATTATTACAACAAAGTACTTTATTTTTTTTTATATTCGACCCTTTGTAATGAGGGAGGTTTCAATAAGACACTAGCTGTTAGTCTTCAGATAACTTGTTTTCCACTTAACCCTTGTTTATTTGGTTTTTTGTATCTCATTATGTTGCGATACTGTCTGTGTGAAAATGATGTGTCAATTTGAATTCCAGTAAAAGTAAAGAAAATCCAGATTAACTTTGTTGTTGTTCAATGAAAATTTCTCTTTTTTCCGGTTAACCGCTAGTCATTTGCAGTATAAGTCAAAATAGTATTCTTTCATTTGAATTACGGAATTCCGGAACTTCAAGATTTTGGTAAGTTAGTGTTGAGATTTTCCAGCGTGTCGGAACACAACAACTAGACCCTGAGATATGTAATGTAAGGGGTGTGTTACAAAATTTAATTTGTCTAATTTTGAGCTATAACTCTCGCCAGGAAAGATTGCCGGTCACAGCACACCTTGTATCGATTTAAAATCTTTGTTTTTATTAAGATGCGAGCGACTTCTGGAATAGAATCGTGCTAATGTGGAGTTAAAGTCCTTTCGTTCAACATTGACACGATACTATCCCGGAAGTCGCCAGCACCTTACGAAAAACAGAGATTGTAGATCGGGATCAAGTGTTCTGTGACCGGCAATCTTTCCTGACGAGAGTTATAGCTAAGTACCTACGTGATACGTGGTTATTTTTTGGTATAAACATTGTGAACATTTACTCAAGATTTATAAAAACGTGTACAGCATGATGGTAACGTCGATTTGGTCAACATAAAGTAATTAGTTTATGACTAATTCACTCATAAGTAGGCAAGATTTTTGAAGTTTCGGAATCCCACCATCCAAGGTTCTTTATTGAATCATTCGACGTAATGTTTTGAATATTCAAAACCAATTTAATGTTAGGCAATTTATTTAATCTCGTTCCATTTTACCAAATAACATCGTTTCTATTTTGGTAACGTTTAATTTTAGATGATTTTTTGTATTAACTCCAATGCTCCAGGTCAGCAGTACATTAGTAAATTGACAATCATTCTCTGCTTCGACTGCGTAAAAGGAAAAACGTACCTACATTTCATCATCTAAAAATGCGATTTACACCATAAATTAGAGTGGACCCAGTTGCGACCCTTGTGTATCACTTTTCTAAAAAAACTACACCTCCTTTTGGTGTTGCAATTTAACGTTACCTACTGTGCACCTATAATGTTTTACTATTACACAATGAGAAGTCTTCTTATGAATAAGTATTTTTTTTCTATTTTCGTACCTACTTACTTAAAATGTAAACCTTGTCGGCGAAAGTTATTTTCAATACCTACCTGTTACCCAACGTCACGTCGGATTTGTATCCAAATTCTAATAGAAAACTAAAATTGGTTCAACCTGTAAGTCTAATTAAATTACTATTCGCCTATTGTATAGTAGGTACTGTTGACGGAATATGACACAAACAGTAAGATACGAAGAAACGCGTACAACTTTCAGGAGGGAAATTTTCGATACACCCTGTTTCGTAAAGGATATTCAGAATAATACCAATCATAATAATAAATCGGAGTCGGATGCACCCCTTCAGGCACGACCAACAATGTTAACTGCTTGGCATTTATCTGGATTTATTGTAATGGGCCCAGAATGCTGCACTGTGGAACTCCGGCGCGGATATTTTTAGTTTCGGATAACGTTGGAGTTTTGTTTTCAAAAAAAGATAAGTTGATGGCTTTAAGTAAGTGGGTATACCACTCTTTAGATACTTATCTTGAAAAGACCTTTACCCCAATAATCACATGTTCCTCAACCCACTTCACGAGAGTAAAGAAATGTGCCTATATACCAGATCGAATCTCACCAACTTCCCCCCAAAGAACTAAAGAGCATAAATAGACAAGCTACCCAAAAGAAAAAGGGTTGCTTAATAAGTATTTTTTTTCTATTTTCGTACCTACTTACTTAAAATGTAAACCTTGTCGGCGAAAGTTATTTTCAATACCTACCTGTTACCCAACGTCACGTCGGATTTGTATCCAAATTCTAATAGAAAACTAAAATTGGTTCAACCTGTAAGTCTAATTAAATTACTATTCGCCTATTGTATAGTAGGTACTGTTGACGGAATATGACACAAACAGTAAGATACGAAGAAACGCGTACAACTTTCAGGAGGGAAATTTTCGATACACCCTGTTTCGTAAAGGATATTCAGAATAATACCAATCATAATAATAAATCGGAGTCGGATGCACCCCTTCAGGCACGACCAACAATGTTAACTGCTTGGCATTTATCTGGATTTATTGTAATGGGCCCAGAATGCTGCACTGTGGAACTCCGGCGCGGATATTTTTAGTTTCGGATAACGTTGGAGTTTTGTTTTCAAAAAAAGATAAGTTGATGGCTTTAAGTAAGTGGGTATACCACTCTTTAGATACTTATCTTGAAAAGACCTTTACCCCAATAATCACATGTTCCTCAACCCACTTCACGAGAGTAAAGAAATGTGCCTATATACCAGATCGAATCTCACCAACTTCCCCCCAAAGAACTAAAGAGCATAAATAGACAAGCTACCCAAAAGAAAAAGGGTTGCTTAATAATTTTATTATTTTGCTTGCAAAATAGACGACTAGTGGAAGATGATCAGAATTAAGCTCAGTTATGACAGTTTGGAAGACGGGCTTATTGAAGTTTTTCTGCAGGACAATATCGAGTATATCAAACTGCTCAGGTGCCGGTATGTATAATACTTGTATTCGTCAGATGCCAATATTCTACTGTTTTCAATTATCTCGCTCATGTTTTACGCTTTGGCAAACAATCTGAGTTTAGAAGCCTATAAAAGAGCTCGTAAAACCATTCAGTCTCCTAAGTTGTTGTAGAACCTGTAACAATATTTAGGATTCACTAAGGTTCATCCAAAATTTGAAGGACTCTTCAAGGTCTCTAAGAACTTTCCAAAAGTTATTATAAAGACATGCGAGTTCAATAGCCTTTAAGAGGCTCTTCTAATGATTTCTAAAGCCTTCCATAAAGTTTTCAATGACAAGAAGAATTTTTAAACGTATTCAGAACCTTTAAGAGTTTTTAATCCTTGAATTCGTAGAAATCGATTGGCGAAGGTTTGACATCGCTGTCTCTTAGACGAGGAATAGACGGACAAAACTATCACATAGGTAAGAGGAATTTTATTTCTTTCGAAAAGTTCCCTTAAGAACTCAGGAGTCAAGAAACACATCCAAATCCCAGCTAAATTTTACAGGAATTCGTAACCACAGAA